TTGTTCCAGTGCTTTTCGACGTTGACCTTTTCGTTGGTGTTGATTTGTGTCTCGGCTTTTTCCCTTATGTTTGCAATGAAGATGTCCTTTGTAGCCTGGTCCTTCAGCTTTTGAGTGTTGAACTTGGCTTGTGGTTTATCTGCAGCTCCTGTTTCCCTGAAAGCTTTTAATTTGATTTGGATTGTCCCTTGTACGAGGTAGTGGTTTGAGCCAACGTCTGCTCCTCTTCTTGCTCTTGTGTCCAGTAGGCTGCGTCTCCACTTCCTCGATATTGTGATAAAGTCAATTTGGTTTTTGGTTCGCCCATCTGGCGACACCCATGTAGCCTTGTGGATATCTCTGTGTTTGTAAACACTGCCACCAATCACTAGTTCGTTGAAGGCACAGAAGTCGGCGAAGAGTTCTCCGTTTTCATTCATTTCTCCAAGAGCTTCTCTACCCATGATGAGTTCTCTTCCTGTATTGTCTGGTCCCAATTTGGCGTTCATATCTCCCATTAGTATTTTAATGTCGCCAGCTGGAGTATTGTCTATCGCTGCCTGTAGTTGTCTGTAAAATTCTTCCTTCGTTTCGAGGTCTGCGTTGTTGGTGGGTGCATAACATTGGATTATTGACACTTTTCTTCCTTTGGAGTTGAATCTGGCGGTCATTATCCTGGACGAGATCGCTTCCCATTGCATCAGGGCTTTCGTTGCCGTTGGTGACATCATGATAGCCACGCCCTCGGTGTGCGTGTGGTTATCTTCTGGGTGACCGGAGTAGATCACTGACTCTCCCGTTGATAATTTGGTGAGTCCACTTCCATTCCATCTGCTTTCACATATTCCCAGCACTTGGATTCTGTATCTTTTCATCTCGCTGGTGATCTGGGCAGCTTTGCCAGTCTCGTACATAGTGCGGACATTCCATGTCCCCACACAGACTTTTTCTTTTGTCGCAAGGAGATTGCTCATGGTGAAGTTTCTGTAGCAGGTTTGTTTACAGGGTGGGGTTGCTGGCCTCACGCCTGAGTTTCGTCTTCGGGTACCTGAAATAGAAGAAAGGTTAGTGTTGCGTGACCGCAGAGCCCAGGGGACATCTGCTTGAGGCCGATCACACGCGGCCTGGTGTGTCTCAGTAGTGTACTTATCACTTCTGCCCTGTGACACGGCAGCAGAAAGCGCGGTCGTTGTTAATCCGGGCCACGGCCGATCCGGCATGATATTTCTTGGATTTCTTGGGTTCATGGGTTTGGATTGATGAATGATGGCGACTTAGTCCAGCCCCCACTGATACCGTCGCCAATGTATCAGTAGGTTGTGAGGTTTGAAAAATTTCGTTGGCGTCCGCTGCTACTGTCAACGGAGCTACTCAAGGAGCGCTGTGACGACCCAAGTTATCTTCTACTGATACCGTCGCCACAGTCATACCAGTAGAAGTCCGGTTAAGCTGCCGGTCAGCCTCGGAATCAAGCAAAAAAAATGGAGAAAACCAGCAGAACAGCAAAAATTCCATAATTTCGCAACGGTAAAGCCTACAGGGACAAGACAGGTACCAATCGATTCGCCTCGTCGAGAGGAATCCAATGGTATATAAATCAGGAGAAGCTATAAGGTGCGAAACCGGTACCAATAGGTAGATCTCGTCAAGAGCTATCCATTGATATATAGCTTCCCTAGGTCCTAGCCTCCCTAATAAAATTTCGGCAGCATGTCCCCTAAGGGCACTAGCCCAGACAAGACAAGTCCCTATTCGGCTGAGGAGAAGTTACAAAGTTCGAAACCAATGTCAAAAGATAGGTCGCTATGAGAGCTATCCATTGATATATAACTTCACCTAAGTCCTAGCCTCCCTAGAAAAAAAAAAAATTTGGCAGCATAGCCCCAGAGGGCGCAAGCCCAGATATCAAAGAACCTGGGGAGGGCTGAGGAGGAGCTACAAGGGTCGAAACCACTGTCTAAAGATAGATCTAGTCGAGAGCTACCGATTGATATATAGCTTTCCTATGCCAAAGCATCCCTAAACAAACTTAGACCGTATGGTCCCTAAAGCCCTAGCATAGTAAACATCACTCTAAAACCTGGCCTAAACATGAAAGCTAATAATAAAAATAAAATAAATAAAACTTACCAAATAACTCCATTGGCGAAGATTGGAAGCCACCATAGGCCTCCAAGTGACAGGGGCTGGCCGTAAGAAACCAGCCACCCGTCCCACGCCATGCCACAAATTCAACTCTAGCTAAATGTACTAAGAAGCAAATACCGTCTTAAGACGATAGAATAAATCACTGGCTGTTTGGTGCTTCTTTACGGACAACAAGAGGAAGAGTGCAGGTGATGAATAGTTTCGCTTCATATATTGCATGCCCAAAGCATAATTTACCATTCTCAAATGGTTAACCAGCTAGTATTCAATCAACCTATCTATTGTTATTACCCGTCGCCAGCATAACATAGAGCCTACTTTCTACTCGGTTCTCCGCAATCTGGTTCCAACCTCTTCCATGTCACCCAACTCGTCGTCTCCCATTCGGCTTCCACACGAGAGCCTGCTCTACACGTATAATGTCACTCAGTGATCCCAGAGTATCAGTAATACATCCTTGTTTCCTTCTGCATATGCGTTGGTCAGTAAGCTCTTCACTGTTTCTCTGTCAGCGTTCTTGTTTGCTTATCTTTTCCTGCTGGTCATCTGATCTTCAGCATAGAACCAGCGAAGGCGGTTGGAGAGCCACATCTCTGAAACATATAGAAAATTCAGATAATATTCCTTCTGCTGAGTGTTGTGGACCTCTACACTAATATCAGAGAAGTGAAAACGCCTGTCTTGCTTTCCAAATGCATGCCAAAACCTTCAGTTGAAATAATGCTGACTAAAGTAAATAGAAAGAGACGACTTCTTTCAGATTTCTTCCATTGATGATGATTGATTATACTGTGAATTGGCATGCAGCAGCATTATCATATAATTGTTGAAGGAGGTTTTTACAAATTTGCAGCACAATTGTAGTATTGAAAGAATTTCCAAATTACATCACCGTCGAAGGTATTTTCACTCAACCTAACTAAAATCTATTTTTTATCAAAAAGATATAAACTGAAAATAGAATAAACAATAAATTCAAGTCTTGGTTTGCAGGGAATTGATTGGTTTCAGCATTCCAGTATGAACTGACATCGGTTAGAGGACCGTTGGAAAACCTGGCAGCATTGGACTGCTGTTTCGCCAGCCACTGTGGTTCGAACCAAGAACCTCCTGGTTACAAGGTGAACTAGCTCGTAGACCATTAAGCCACTGGGATCCGATCCAATGGCCAGTCCATGAACTCCAACTTCTGCCAATTCATGATTTGGCGCGACTACTAGCGAATGTCATCGACGATTATTAGTGCTCACACCCGACTTGTTGTACCCCTCTGGTCACGACTTCACAATTGAACCCCGGGTAACTACCTACCTGAATAGGGCCAGCTTGTAGTGAGCATCAAATCCCTGAAAACCAACACTGGAATATCAATTTGGTCCTCACTAGGGACTGACCCTATTCAGGTAATTAGTTACCTAGGTTCTAGTGGAAAGTCGTGATCAGTGAGGTACAGCGAGTCGATAACATTCGCTAGTAGTCGCGCCATATCATGAAATGGCAGAAGTTGGAATTTATGGGCTGGCCATTGGATCAGGTCCCAGTGGCTTAATGGTCTACGAGCTAGCTCGCCTTGTAACCAGAAGGTTCTTGGTTCGAACCTCAGTGGCTGCTCACTGACGAAAAGTCCCAAACTCTGGCGAAACAGCTGTCAAATAGTCTTCTAACCGATGTCAGTTCATGATGAAATCCTGAAAGCAAGAAAAGCATCAACCATTACTAAGGACAAAAAAACAATCTTATGTTTAAAAAAGGGATTTTGTTTTCTGATAAAAAAAAGGTTATATATAACTGATAAATTTCATTACACAGACTGTCTGTCATCTAGAAAAATAACAGATCACCAAAAAAAGTAAAAAATAAGAAAAATAAATTAGAATTATATAATATATATATGTATATATATTGTCTTAAAATTGTAAAACTTGATTATATAATCATGTAGAAATTTATATATATATATGTATCACAATTACCTGTACTACAAAAAGTATAAAAGAAAGATAGCAGACAAGAGAAATGTGGATAAATGTCAGTGTATGAGCGTATGATCATTGTACTCATCACAATACAGGAAAGATAAAAAAAGGAAGAGTATTGGTTCATCTTTCCCTCCTCCCCACCTTTGTTTTATTTTTTTGCTTATACAGAAATTACTCAAACTGGTTAAAGTTATTTGTATTTGCGCTGCAAAGGGAAAAAAACGATTATCTCTAGACCTCTAGGTCATAAAAGTGAGTAAACAATAGCAGACAGAAATCAATTTAGTCTAATTGAAATTAATAATGTGAAATTGTGTTATTATTTTTTTTATTCATCAAAACGAGGTGGTGTTGTGGTATTTTGTGTCCAATAAATGCAATCGAAGAATACACACATTATCAAAACGAAATAAAATGAAATAAAGCGCCATATATGCGTGTATATAACACAAGAAATATAAGGAAGGACGACTAATTTTTATATGTGTCTTATACACAAAGAATTAAAACACACTACTATGCCAATCAGGTTCATTAATATCCTCTCTATTTACTACTATTATTTAATTCAAAAAGTAATGAATGGCACGGAAGATATCACAGTTTCCTTACAATGGTTACAGTCAATTGGAACACTGATGGCAATCAGAAGTAATAATAATAATAATAATAATAATAATAGTAATAATAATAAGAATTTTGGTGCTCATAATTACAAAATATAAAATAAACCGGTTTTGATGCGGGAAAATAAAAAGAAGAGGAGATAGAGGAGGTATCTTGGCATCTGTGATTTACACACACAGTCTGATATATGCACAATGTGAAGAATAGCAGCAAGGTGTGGTGAAGTGTGTACCGCACCTCACCCCACCCCACAGCACCCCTGTTTGTTTAATGAATATACGAATCAAGTACATGAATATATATACCATTTGGTGAATAACGTATTGTTTCAACACTATGCACTGAAGGTAGACGAAATCCCTTAGGTATTTGTCCATCTTTTGTCATTGATAATTCCGAAGACTGTGGTAGAACTCCAAGTAATCCACAAACCCAAAATTTTCCAGGACGTAAAAATACAATAGAACTGACTACAGATTTAGGTTTATGACAAGGCGTTGATGGCGAATGAGGTACAGAGATCTATAAAAATATGGAAAAAATATACGCAATGGAGTTACTATAATTGTACATGAAACATGGTAAATAATTATGAAGGGTTTTGTTTTATTTAAGTTGTTGACGTGGTTGGGACTTACGAAATGAACTGCGTGCATTGTTAATGTTTGATTATTTCTTAAGCATTTTATATGATAAATATTCCACACAGTCATTGAAGAGTAATCAAATCAAGCTATCCATACTACACAAAACATGTAAGTGATGAAATTATCGGTGACATAAAAACATACACTGCAAAAGCTGTGCATTAGATAACATAATCAATGTTAGCAAGCTCAAAACTGAACTAACAAAAGGAGGAGATTAAAATGATAAGAAAACACTTTAGGACTGTGACAGGAAAACAGGAATTTGCGGCCTGGATGCCATAGAAGATGAAATGAACACTCTTAAGAAAATCCTCCTTGAAAATGGCTATCCAGAAAGATTTATCACAAAATCAATGAACCCCAGACCAGAGAAGCCGCTCACACCCAGTGCTCCAAAAAGACTTCTCTATATGAACCTACAGTTCAATGGAGACCAATCTACAGAAATACTGAGAAATCGGCTCTCCCTCTCATTGAAGAAAACCTTCTTTGCAGCTGAATTACGACTGACGTTCTCCACGAGACCAATGATTCGCATGAACGTGAAGGATAAGCTACCACTGTTGGCCTCATCTATGTGCATCTACCAATGCACCTGCTCGTGTGGAGCCAGGTATATCGGCCGTACTCAGCGTTCGCTACCCAAACGCGTCAGCGAACATTTACCTTCATGGTTTTATAAAGGAGAAAACCAATGCCCCCGCAGCTCGATCCTTGAACATTTGATCGAATCTCGACACCAAGTCAAACCACAAATAAACTTCAAAGTTATCTACAGAATACAAGGCAATCTTGCTAAAAATGTACGCATCAAACTTCTCCATATCGCAGAAGCAATGGCAATTCATCTGTTAAATCACGGACTCTGCATCCAAAGATTTTCGTTCATTCATTAAATCTGCAATGGACGTAATCTTTCTTAACTTCAGTCTTACTAATTGTATTATTTTGTCTTTTGCATTTTATTATTTTACATCTTCATTTGTATTATTCTCTACCCCACCCTTTTGTAATCTCTACCCTCATTAACAATGTTGCTAACTCGACCCACGTCCAATTTCTTGGCAACTATATTACGTCATCCGATTAACTTACTTAATTTTCAACTGCATTATTCTCTACCCCCACCCTTATTTAATTTTAACCACCACTCATTAACACTATTGCCAACCTGACCTACTCTGAATTCTACTCGATTGTATTACGTCATCCAATTCACTTAATCAATTTTATTTTATTTTCTATCTAATTAACGTTTGTTTCCAAGCCAAATAATGCTTATATTACGTAATTATCTAAACTTTATAAATCTAATGTACACACACACACACAAACAACATTGTATATAAATGCGATTGTACAGCTCAGTGAATGAATTCGCCGAAAAGAGTCTCTTCGCTGAACGCCTTCTTTTCTTTTATATGACAGGAAAACTGCCTGGAAAATCTCTCCTAAAAGCGACCCTATACAACATTGTTATTAAAGAGTTTATTTGGATGTTTCAACTAACTGTTCAATTATTGTCCGTTCTTCTCCTGAATTGTGCGTCATTGTTATGATATTTGCACATCACATATTGACTTGATCCTTATTGATTGTCTTTAGTCCTGTTTAATTTCTAATCTTAATGTTTCTCTTCATAGTTGTGCGATAAATTTAATGATATGTTGTTTTACGGCGTGATTTTGTTTGAGTAGATCAAGGTGATTCTGATCTCGGACTGTCTGCAGGAATTGTTGGTGTGAAATTCTTTCGGATAGAGTTTTTATTCCATCTTGTCGGGAATATTCTACTTGATTCTAAAGTACTTCTTACAGCGGGATTTTGTTACTAGAAAATTATCTAGCCTGTACTAGATACCTAATGGTAATTACCGCGGTAATTTAAAGTTTTTGATGTTATTATCACTGAACAGAACTACAAATTTTACGGCGAATAACCGTCTTTGGAGTGTTTTGTGGCCGTGTGCGTGACTCAAGGAGTTCTTGGTGAGCTATTCAGTAAGACGCAGAGATCGGTGTCCTGCGTTTCACAGCACAACAAGTCGGCTCCGATGGTTACAGGAAGTTAGGTAAGCAAATACTACTTATCGAACGACATCAAAGTTATCATAAAGGCGTCTTGATTAAAATATTTTAAAAAATAAAGAGGAATTCAGGATTTCGAAAACCACATTCCTTCATTTCGTTTCTTCCTTTGTCGTGTAGCAGTTTACAGCCTATCCGATCAGTTTATTTCTCCGTCTACTTCTCTGTTACATGTTACTTGATGTGTAGACCAACATTGTAATTTTTGTTTAGGTTTTATGTATCATATATATTTTAACTGGCACTGTCGATATGCAGGAAGCATTTGTCTTTTTAAAAAATCCGAGGTTTCAGACGTATCCTTGCTAGACGACGACAACCTTACTTTGGCATCAGTTATTCGGAGACGATAATCTTTCTAATAAAGATTTCTGGACAAACATCAACATGAAACATACTACACCAATAGTTAATGAGTTGTTGTCGCCGTTTTCAACAGCGTTCCCATACAACTTCTGAATGTTGCCATTAAAATGTACAGTACATTACTGTTTGCTTTTTATACACTGTGTTAAAAATTATGAATGAAATCGTATCTCGTGGATGGATTGGTTATAAGACAGTGTCATCTAACAGTTAACAAATTTCAATTTCGCCTTCATTACACACACACACAACGTCACATACTTAAATCTACGGCATTGTGGTTTCTGCAATTGAAACTGAGGCAGATGAGTGTCTAAACGTTTGAGGTTTAGTTTAACACATCTATAGCATTATAAAAATGGGGAGTAGAAAACATTAATTGAGACCGGGGTTCGATATCCGGCCACCGAAGCACTCCTTTACGTCGCTAAGCCAGTAATAAGACTGGTAAAAGAGGGAAGGTTGGGCATGAGGCTAATAACCCTATCCCGTAAACATAAATACCACTGCTACTGAAACTTCAAAGCTCTAGCTACAAGCCTTATGTTCCACTGGGAACGTAAAGGAAAAAAATTGATAATAATAATAATATTCAAGTGTTGATTTGTAGGGATTTGATTGGTTTCAGGATTTCATCATGAGTTGACATTAGTTAGAGAGCCAGAAGGTCATGGGTTCGAATCCCGGTGGGTGCGTACTGATGAAGAGTCCCAAACTAGGCTAACGAAACGGCTGTCCAGTATTCCCAGCAGGTTTTTCAATGGTTCTCTAACTAATGTCAGCTCATGATGAAATCCTGAAATAATAATAATAATACTTGAGTGAACTTGGGTTTACGCACAACTAAGTGGAATGACTCATCAAGAAGGACTAGTAATGAGGGAGAGACAGAGAGTCACCCCCTAATTACAGTAAGTTAATGATTGTTAGATCAAACCACACGGCGCATAATATGTTAAATTCGGTCAATTAACAAGTACACATTGATTAGTCAGTCAGTCAGTCTATAAAGTAGTTGATGATTGATTGTGAAGCATTTTCGGAATGCCAATATGTAATATAATGCATCGATAACAATATCTGTACACCGAAAACAATTTGTGTTCTATAAAATAACATTGACTTTACACAAAAGAGGTAATTATCTCAGTTAATATGATCGACAGCTTACACTACACCTGACTCCATTATTCCATATTGATTTTTTTTCAAAAGTAGATTCTTTGAAATGAACTAGTGACTAACCAAGAGACTAAATGAACAATCACAATTTCATTATACATTAGTCCTTCAACTGCTTATACATAAATATTCAATCAACAGTTGATTAACACTATTATTATTATTATTGTTCCCTTTAATTCCTAGAGGAACATAGGGCTTCAGCAGCACATCTCCATTGCGATCGGTTCTCTGCTAGAGTCTTCACCTGGCTCCAAGTCTGCCCACACGTTTTCATCTCCTCTTCACATGACCTCCTCCAAGTCACCCTTGCACTGATGACCAACTCGCCGGTTCCCTTTCGAGTTCTACTCGAGTAATGGCTTGTCTAGTGATGTCACTTGATGGTATCCTCAGAGTATGGCCATTCCATCTCCATTTCTTCCTACCTATTTGTTTCACAATCGGTCCCTGCTGGGTTGGTTCGCTCTCAGAGATCTCTGTTGCTGATCTTTTCTGACCAGCCATCTGATCTTGAGTATGGAGCGAAGACAACTGTTAATGAAGGTCTGTAGTTTGTTTGAAAAGCGCTCTTCGTGACGCGCCAAGTCTCTGATCCGTTTAGTAGCACTGACTTCACATTGTAGTTGAAAATCCGGCTCTTATTTTTTATGCTGAGTGCTGTTGACCTTCACACAGACATGAGAGTAGTGAAAGCTTGTTTTGCTTTTCCGATTCTTGCTTTGGTATTCTCATCAGTTCCGCCTGTAGTTGAAACGATGATTCCCAGGTCAGTAGGTAAAAGAGGTTGCTTCTTTCAGATTCCTCCCATTTATGCTGATTGTTGTCTGTTGTTGTTGTGTCTGTCGCTGTTGGCAAGGAATCTTCATCACCTCTGTTTTCTCAATGTTCATTAAGCAATGGCTCAGTACATATTCTATTAGGCTTAGGGAAAAAAGATATTATTAAGCAGTTCATCTGAAAGACAAAGTTTTTGTCCCACCTGAACTAAAAGTCTGATGAGTGGATCAGTGAAAGGATACTCACAAAATGGTACACACAACCGGCCGACTTACTCCTAAACCTCAGTTAGCCGGTAGTTGACCTGGCAAAGTGGGAAGACTGAGCGTGAGACTAGCAACTGCATCCCGTAAAAAAACCACTGCTACTGAAACTTTAAACGAAAAGCCTGAAGCCCTATGTTCCACTCTCAGTGCAAAGGAATACAGTAATAAATACATACACCAAAAAGTAAACAGATCAATTTAATCGCCAATTTTGTTTAAAGCGGAATTACTAAGGCAATGTAGAGTGGATCACAAAATCCTTCTGTACGTATAAATTGAGTTTCAATTGTTAGACTTATGATTATCATAGTAATCTATTGATGCTCTGCATATCTACCACCTGAAAAGGTAATCTACGAATGTTTGGCATGCGATTCGCTTCCTCCAAATGCAAGATGATGTTACAGGATTGCACTACACCGACTCCTAGATTAGAAATAGGAAGTGAAGTGGTATCCGACTATCGACCAAAGGGAGTGTGTACTGTTCATCAGTCTGCTCCGTTATCCTTTATGGCTGTGAGACCCGGCCATTGAGAGCGGAAGACATGAAAAGATTAGCTGCCTTTGATCATAGGTGGCTGCGTTCTATCTTCCATGTGAAGTGGTCAGCAATACTGAGGTTAGGTGTCGATCGAGTGCTAGGTAAGGAGGGGAAATCAATCGACGAGACTGTGAAATTACATCGACTGAAATAGTTAGGACATGTGTTACGTATGCCTAGTCATCGCCTCCCTCGACCTACGGGTAATGTTAGCTGATATAGGGTCAGGCTGGAAAAGAGCCAGCGGCGGTCAAACCAAAACATGGCACCAGTCAATGAAATCTACAACAGTTTGTCTAGGCCACGTAAGAAGGTGTAGACTTCCTGGTTGGGGTCTTCGGGACGGTAAAACTTAATGGTTAGAAATAATTGGTGAAATGGTTCAAAATCGTTCTCAATGACTGGCGCAGATGCATCCACTCTTTGTGAATTATGATTTCCAATTAAACTGTTTTGTTCTTCCTTATTACTATACCTTTGTCTCACACCTCTGTTTACTGTCTCTAATATGCATTTCTCCTACTTTCTTCTCTTCCTTTGTGTGCTACATGGAAGGAGTGTGGCGACTTGAACTGCCGCACATATGTGCAAAGTTCTATGTCGAAAACAAACAGACCTGAAAAGGTGTATTAGAATTGATGAGGTAACCTTTATGAATGGTATGTCCACCAATAGCAACTAATGACAATCTTTTTGGCACATATTCAGAAATTTGTTTTCTGCAAATACCCTCTGAGTTCTTCTCACGTGCATGCTACTGAAATTATCTGTGTGTTTCATACAAGTCGTTTAATATATAATTAAAATCTCGGTACGTATATGTAACCAAACGTATACGAAACAAGCACTTACACCAATACTGCCCGATGCTTGTCCAACAAACGCATAGTCTATCCCCTCAATCAATGGTCCTAATAGTGTAGTTTGAGTTGATTCGGAATCATCCTCACTGATGTGTTGTACATGTCTATATACAGCTGGACCCATCCATACACGTTCTATTCGAAATTCATTCGTCGTTGAATCGATTGTCTCATTGGAAGCATTTGATGGGTTATCTTGAGGAGTATTACTACTATCAGAATTTGTTACATCTGAAAGGCAAGAACAATGGAAGAAAACATAGTCATACAGAATACAATTTCAAAGAGAGAGAGAGGACATAAAGTAAGCTTAATAACACTTAGCTTTACAATGTTTTTATTTATGTCATGTGATGTGGAAGGCAGATAACTGACGAAATCCCGGCACGCATACAAAAGGTAGTATGACATTTGATATAAGTATAAAGCTTGGACACTGTGGTGTAGCATAACTCCATAATGGATAAGATTTTATTTTGATAAATCACACAGTGTTACACAGTAATATTAACTGATAACGACGTCTTAAGCACAAATCATTGCTCATAATCACATCAAGGCACTACTCACACAACTTTTTCCTTCATTTATATACAAGTGTGGAATTGACTAGATATTTGAATAAAACTCAATATAAGATAATGCACATTCAGAAATAATATTAATATGAGTGTTATTGATCAATTACAATCAGATGGGAAATAAGACGAGTGTTTTTATAGTCATAATAAGTTACTTGTTAGAATGCTATGATGTACGTGAACTGAAATAGAATTTTGAGATTATTTATTATCCTCCTCTGATTTGACTGACCAGCGGTAATAATATCTTCCATATTTCTGATATTTGCATTGAGTCATTTCTGTTGCATGTGTTGGGTGTAGATTCGATAAACCAGGCAGGATTCAGTAATCAATCTCTCTCTCTCTCTTTCCACCTACATAGATTACTTCTTAGAATCTTAACCCTCTCCCACCCTATTGTGTGTTGTTGTATGCATGCAGTGCAATTGCTGAGCTTTTTTCTAAATTACTTATTTCGTGGGGGGGGGGTGTCAACCATTTTTACCTTAGCTAAATTCTTATGTTCTGACAATTTGATTACCCCCGATCTATTAGTTTGACCTCACAGTCATTGCAAGGTATTTTGTAAATTATATTATTTTGTTGAATTGGGTCCAATGGGTCCTTTAGCTTGTAGAGCTTGTCTCTGAGTGAGTTTGTAGGTTTGAATACCACCCTAATTCCTGGTTTATTTAGAATGCTACTTAGGGAGGGTCTCAGATGTCCCCTACTTATATAACTGTGCATGACTTATATTCTCTCTTATATATGTTATCATTACTAGTTTCACAATTATTTTTATTTTGCTTTCGGACTTTACTGATCTTCCTAATGAATTTTATAGGATAGTTATTTGATACCAACGCTTCTTCTATCTGTTTTATTTCATCATTTAGGTCTTTTCTTGTGCTACTTAGTGCTATTGCTCGGTTTGTCAGACACTTAACTAAGCCTACCTTAACAGTTAAAGGATGAGACGAATTAAAGTCTAAATATCTATTAGAATGCGTTGGTTTTCTATGAACGCTAGTAAAGATAATCGGAACATAAGAAGTAAGTAATTTAGAAAAAAGCTCAGCAATTGCACTACATGCATACAACAACACACAATAGGGTGGGAGAGGGTTAAGATTCTAAGAAGTAATCTATGTAGGTGGAAAGAGAGAGAGAGAGATTGATTACTGAATCCTGCCTGGTTCATCGAATCTACACCCAACACATGCAACAGAAATGACTCAATGCAAATACCAGAAATATGGAAGATATTATTACCGCTGGTCAGTCAAATCAGAGGAGGATAATAAATAATCTCAAAATTATATTTCAATTCATGTACATCATAACATTCTAACAAGTAACTTATTATGACTATAAAAAAAACACTCGTCTTATTTCCCATCTGATTGTATTTGATCAATAACACTCATATTATTATTTTTCTGAATTTACATAATCTTACACTGAGTTTTATTCAAATATCTAGTCAATTCCACACATGTATATAAATGAAGGAAAGAAGTTGTGTGAGTAACTTGATATGATTATGAGCAATAATTTGTGCTCAAAACGTCATCAGTTAATATTACTGTATAACACTGTGTGATTTATCAAAATAAAACCTTATCCATAATAGTGTGACATTTGCCGAGCTACCTCAACTCTGACGTCGATTGGATATCTGGATATCAGTCAGACGATGTGTGTACTAAGTAGCTATTTGCTCTGTCTTTCTCTGTGACTAAGAAAGATGGCTATTGAAATATGAAGACATTAAGAGGCTAGCTGTCTCTGACCACGGATGTTTGCGTTGTATCTCCTGCTGTGTTAAGTGGTATGATATTGTAAGTAATATTGAGGTTAGGTATAGAGTGTCAGCTAAGGAGGTCAAATCAATCGATGAGGTTGTTAACCTACATCGATCGAGTTGTTTATGACACGTATCGTGCATTGCATTGAACATCCTCATTGAACAATTTAACTTGACATAAAATCCCATTGGAAAAGAGTTAGAAGTGGTGTAATCAAAACCTGGAGTAATTTCATGTAGTCTTTGACAGTTGTTGCTTGATGTAGACTGCCTGCCTCACTGGGGATCTTCGGGATGCTAAGAACCAATGACTTGAAACTGCGGGTGAAGCACTCATATGTGCAGTAGATTTGCAGGTGAAGAACTCCATAAAAACTACTCGGCAACTTACTACTAGAAAGTGTTTATACCATAACAAGCTAACAAAGTTCAATACAAGCAATACAACTTACGTGAATCATTTTGGATACGAATATTTCGAAATAAATTACTTCTAGTGCCACATTTAATAGACACAGAAACAGGATTCAACGGATAAGTACATATACGAGATGATGTGTAAAGATCATCTTTATCTATTTGTTTAGCCGACTGTGGTGATCTTAAGTCGGGCATAGAAATCTTTCGAGATTCTATAATCATTTCAGTTTTCCGAACATTTACATAACTTTTTACTTGGCCCAATGGTTGTGATTCATTAGATGTAGCCGAAATTCTTCGTGTCATATTATTCAATTGACGTGATGAAGGAAGCTCTTGACGGCATTGCAGGCATAACTGGCTTTGAGGATCAAGTTTCTTAGTGGCAATATGTCGTAGTCTGGATTGACTTTTCTCTTCAGAAAGTGGATCCAAACTAATATCTGTTTTTTAAAAATAGCACAGAACAAGACGTTCATGATTGAAACATAATTAAGAGCAAAATCTAGTTTCGAGTAAAATGTAGTAAATTAGTATAAAGGAGGGTTCATCATACTAAGCGACTAGCATTTGCCAGTTCACACTTTCACAAACAATTAATGAAAAATCCTAACACCATGTTATCAAATATTCGAAACTTCGACGAAATCTCTATTTTTGATGTAACAACACCGCATAATAAATTATCCACTGGCAAAGCTGGACTCGAATCTAGGTGGGAACCCTATCACTCACTGTGGATTGGAAGCGCATTCAGCGGACGAGCCACAAATAGGCCAAAGTAAACATTATGGATTCGCTGAAAGTTACCATCCAACAAGTAACAGGTCGCGTTAAAATCACGAATTGGTTGAAGTTATAATTCATAGTCTAGCCATTGAGTTGGGTTCAAGTGGCTGAATGGTCTGAAAGCTTTGCTAGTAACCGGAAGATCCTAGGTTCAAAACCTGTGGGTGCGTACTGATGGAAAGTTCCGGAAAATTAGGACGAAACAGCTGTCCAGTACTCCTTGGTTTTCAATGGTTCCCTAACTGATATCAATACGCGATCAAACTTGAAAGAAACTAAGTCCCTAGAAACAAACTCTTGAAAACATAATATTCTGTTAATTATCGAACATTGTCAAATTGTCGATACTAGGAGCCTAAATATCAACAGAGATCGAACCAATATAATCAATCATAGGGAAATAGAAAACCAACATAGGAACGAGTAGGCTTTATGCTGATGTTTTTTCTCTTTTTTCTTCCTTTACGTTCCCAGTGGAACATAAGGCTTGAAGCTTCTGTAGCAGTGTTTATTTTTACAGGATGGGGTTGCTAGCTTCATGGCCAACCTTTCTTCTTTACCAGTCTTATTACTGGCTTAGCGACGTAAAGGAGTGCGTCGGCCGGGGATCGAACCCCGGACCATGTGCATGGTCGGTGAGCGTCCTAACCGCTATACCACCGACGCACTTATACTGATGTGTTCATTTATTTATTAGCTTTAAGATAGAATAAGTGGGAATTCGGCTGACTCAAAAATACTGTAATCGTGATATACACTAGACAATCAGCTACATAACTCTAATAACTGACACTTAACTAATTATCAACAGCTACCTTCGCTAGCTCCATATAGAAGATCACACAGCCAGAAAGAATAAGCAACAAGAAACTCTGTCTGGCAACAAACCAACCAAGAGCCGATCGCTCGACAAATATGTAGGAGAAAATGGAGATGAACAGGGCATACGTCACTGAGCAGGTCGTCGAATGACATCATGCGAGGTGCAGGCTATTGTTCAAATGGGATCCCAATGGGAAGCGACGGGTGGGTCGTCAGTGAGAGGGTGACATGGAGGAGATCGTGTGGCAAGGAGGAGATGACAGATTATGGGCAACCATGGACCCATATGAAAAGGACAACGGAGAATAGAACAAAGTGGAGATGTATTGTTGAAGCCCTACGTTCCACTCGGAACCCAAGAGAATAACGGTAACTAATTTCCCTATGCTGCTGATTACAGACAGTAATGAACTATTGATCATAGTCCAAATCTGTCCGCTATTTACAGAGGATTGCAATAAAGGATTCATATATAGGCAAAAGACAACGAGGATTCACTCTCATCTTAATATACTCTGTATATTCAAAACTATTGAATACACAGACGGGCAGATCAATGTAAAACGCTACACAGAAAATACAATACTTCAATTTACCACATATCAGAAAAGGGTACGTTAGAAAAAAAAGGAGAATATATAACACTGTGTCAATGGTGCAGTGATAAAATACTCGCTGCTAAGCGCATACATGGTCCCAGTTCGACTCACGGCCAACGCACTCTTAAACCTCTCTTAGCCAATAGTGAGTCCAGTTAAGAGGGAAGAATAGACATGAGGTCAGCAAACCTAAGGATAGGAAGGATAGTAACTAAGACTACTTTTGGTAAGGATTACCAACATTTTCATTCTTAAATTTTTTATCATTATTTTTCTTTTAATTAACCTTTCATTTTTCATTTAAACCGACTATTCGACATGTATTGAGCAAATACATCACATTTTTTTAAAGACAACAAACTTGCTCTTCTAATAACGCTATTCCAAAACAAAATGTAATTGAAATATAATTTTTTTTTAAATGACTAACCTATCCATATATTATGTGCCCAAAGAAGACCAACAGATGAGCCAGAATTCAGAAATGGATATTCATACCATGGTTTAGCCAATGGCATAGAAGGCTTCTCATTGAGAAGCCATTTCGGATCAATTTGACATTCATGTGAAGATAAAATTATTCGACCATAACGACGAAAACGTGAACATAAGCTGATTTGTTGTTCATAATCTTTAGAATTATCACTGGTAGAATAAGATTCTGGTGATTTCAACGATGTACAACGTGCATATAAACGCGAGAACCAAAATATCTGAAAAGTACAGGGAATGAATAAATTCACCTAGTATTTAACACAGGGCGATAAAAAGAGGAATTCAACAAGGAGTTGTAAAGAGACACACGTGAAATAAGTGAATAACTATCTATCCAACAGTTTCGCTTACATTCACAGTTTACAGTAACCAATATAAAAAGTATAGCAGTGATAAAATTTTCTTCTCTCTAAGGGAACACAGTGATTAAAACTGAATGACCGAGTAAATGAATGAAAATGTATCAGTGTAAGTAATTTTCAACAAAAACAGCTGATTTTTGTTACTAAAATTAGCACTTCATCAGCTATTTCTCCCTCTTGTGTTAAGTGATATAATAAGGTGAGCAATATTAAGGTTAGGCGTCGAGTATGTGGTAGGGTCTGTCTGTCTGGTTTCAACACAGAACTCTGCACCGATATGCAGCAGTTCGAGTTGCCACATTTCACTCAGCACACGAAGCAAGAGAAGAAATGTATAGTAGAGACAGTAGACAGGGATATAAGGCAAAAGGAATAGTAATATGGAAGAACAGTAGTTTTTTATTGGATATTATAAATCGCAAGGAGTGGATGCATCTGCGCCAGCCATTGAGAACGATTTTGAGCCATATATCACCAGTTTTCTCCAGCCATTGGTTTTTACCGTCCCGAGGAACCCAACCAGTCAGGAAGTCTACACCTCCCTACATGGCTGGCTTAAACTAACTGTTGTGGATTTCATTGACTAATGAAGCCATGTTTCGATTTGATCACCACTGGCTCTTTTCCAACCTGACCCTGAATCAGCTAATATTGCCCATTGTCGAAGAAGGCGATGGCTAGGACATGTGTTACGCATGCCTAGCCATTTCAATCGATGTAACTTCACAGCCTCGTCGATTGATTTCCCCTCCCTCCTAACCTAGCACTCGACTGATGCCTAGCCTCAATATTGCTCACCCCATTATACCATTTCACACGGGAGATAGAACGCAGGCATCTATGATCAAAGACAGCTAGCTAGGCTTTTCATGTCTTCCACTCTCAATGGCCACGTATTAGGGAGGGAGGGGAAATTATTCGACGAGGTTGTGAAGTTACATCGATTGAGATGGTTAGGACATGTGTTGTTACGAATGCCTAGCCACCATCTTCCTCGACGGGCAATGTTAGCTGACAGGATGGATCAGGTTGGAAAAGAGTTAGCTGGTGGTGCTCAAACCAAAACATGGCTTCATCAGTCGATGAAATCCATAACAGTTAGTTTAAGCCAGCCATGTAGGGAGGTGCAGACTTCCTGACTGGTTGGGTTCCTCAGTATGGTAAAAGCCAATGGCTGGAGAAAACTGGTGATATATGGCTCAAAATCGTTCTCAATGGCTGGCGCAGATGCATCCACTCCTTGCGATTTATAATATCCAATAAAAAACTACTGTTCTTCCATATTACTTTTGCTTTTGCCTCACACTTCTGTTTATTATGTCTTTCTCTTGAATCTCTATTTACTCTCTTCTCTTGCTTCGTGTGATACAAGGAGGGTGTGTGGCAACTCGAATTGTTGCACATCTGTGCGAATTTCTACGTTGGAACTAGTCAGTCTCTCTTTAATCATTTCACGGAGAAAAAAGATTTCGTTGAGTGAGCTGCTATGGAAAAGGACACGAAATTGAGTAGAATACTTTGTATTCAAGTTGAAATAGGAAGAAGATTATCAGTGTGGTATAGAATGGATAACTCATAAATTATGCACTTAAGTTCCCCTACAACTATTTTTTACGCTGCATACAAATTCTTATGCAGCAGTAAAGTGTTCTAGAAACGTTATCATCCAGTTAATAATACTGCATAACTGAGTGTTATACAGGGAAACATCTATCCAATATGAAATTTTACTCTACCACAGTGCCTAAATTGTATTACTACAAACTTTATTTGTCTTTATTAAAGGGTTATCTCTGTATTTAATTGAATCTTGTTTTAACACAAATAACACTTTGTATTTGTTTACATATTTAGGTGCTGAAAACTTGAAACAATTAATTTTCGTGTGAAATTACATTTCACTCTGTGTATCTATTTTTTTTCAAACATTGATTGTCTGATTGTCCGAGTTTCAGAGCAGAAGTTTGCACAGAACTGCAGTAGTCAAAGTCCAAGTTCCCACAATCCATATACCACGCAAAAGTGAAGAAGACTAGAAACTTCAAAAGAATTACATAGCAATAGGGAGAGATGTACAGGACAGGGAATAATTACATGGAGAAACATGAAGACTTAGTGGACTTGGTAGATTTAAAAAGAGTGAACACATTTGAGCCATTAAGAACGATTTTAAGCCATAACATCGACAGTCTCAAGTTACTATGTCATCACCGAATATTCAGTTGATGACACTCATTAACACAGATTGAGCTGATTGAGTCACTTAACTATTTTCTAAATCTGTTATTCATCTTAGAAGAAAATGAAAGCTTAAAAACACTAAGACATCATCGAAAATAAACAGATGGTTCCATTGATAACCAATGACAGAATTGGTGATGTTGCAGACCATAATTCAACATAAAAACAACATTTGTAATTGGTCAGTCAACCCACTAATTCCCCTATAAAAGTGATGCAGATGCCTAAACAACAAAAAACACCTGTCAGCATCAATGGGGGAAATCTAAAGGAAGTTGTTTCTTTGACTTAACTGAGTTGGGCGGCATACTCCAACTTAAAGGCGACACGGTTGGGGATATCAAAGACACCCAGAATCAGGAAAGCAATTTACAATAGAAACATGCAACTGGAAAAAAGTTGTTATACTACAATAAGCAAAGGCATATTATAAACCAAAGTCTTATGGTAGTTCATTTTTCAAAATGTGGATGACCAACAGTCTCCTTGAAAAAAGAAACGCCTAGCGTTTCTTGTAAGACATTTCATTAGCACGAAAGGCAAACATTACCAAGTAATGGTTGAAGTTACCGAAATATGTAGGGTCTGATACAAGTTCTACTTTTGTGATTACTGACGAGGGCATGAAGCTTGGAATGAAGATCAGGTTACGGCACGACTAGGCCAAGTTGTTTATTATGTGAAAGTTGGTAATGATATGTGGTGTTGTCATTAGTATCTGTTAGGTTATCAAAATTTATATCAGCATAAACCCAAAGCTGACTCTGCCTTCGAATATACTGCTGAGTACTTTTCAACTACCCACAGTTGACAAAACAAAAAGAACGTAATACTGCAAAGTTTCACAGATCCCTGTGTTAGGACAGAAACAGCGTTTTATACAATAAGATGAAGTAATCGACAACAACGACGGAAACGTTCTCAATTTCAGACCGACCACCACCAGTTTTCTTAAAGGGGGAGATATTATGTGTAACTACAGTCTAGCTCAATAATCTGTAAGTCAAAACTCAAGTTGAACGAATACTGATCGCCTTAGCATTAATCAGATTACAAACCAATCCTATTTCTCCACATTGATAGCCACTCATTAATCGACGCAGTGCTGCATCATATAATCAGTCCGTGATACTTTTTTGCATGACTATTGTAATCATACGTAGGTAACATCACGTTTTCACTAACTCACTGGTTCGAAAAACACACACATCCAATATTAATGTGTAAATCTTCTTGGAATTACCAGTTCAGATCATTCGTGTGAAGACTCAATGAAGATAACAGTACCTACCTACCTACCTACCTTAAGGGTCTATTGTTTTACAGTCATTTTTATGTTACATTATTATTATTATTATTATTGTTCCCTTGGGTTCCTAGTGGAACATAGGGCTTCAACTGCACGTCTCCACTTGCTTCTGTCTTCTGCTGTACTTTTCACTTGCGTCCATGTTAGTCCACACTGTTTCAGCTCCTCTTCACACGATCTCCTCCATGTCACTCTTGGACGTCCCACTCGCTGCTTCCCTTTTGAGTTCCACTCGAGCTATGGCCTGACGCGCGATGTCACCCAGCGACCTCTTCAGCGAGTGTCCAATCCATCTCCACTTTCTCCTGCATATTTGTTGGGCGATTGGTTTCTGTTTTGTTTGTTCCCATAGTTTCTTGTTAGTTCTTGTTCTTTCCGGCCATCTGATCTTCAGTATAGAGCCAGCGAAGACAGTTGTTGATAGAGGTCTGCAACAGGCTGTTGGAAATATTCTTTGTGACACACTGGCCAAGTTTCTGATCTGTATAGAAGAACTGACTTGACGATTGTATTGAAAATCCGAATTTTGTTGTTGATGCTGAGTGACGAAGATTTCCAGATCGGCTTCAGGTTGATGAATGTGTTTCTCGCCTTCCCGATTCTCGATTTGACATCCTCGTCGTCCGTTCCTCCTGTAGTTGAGACAATGCTCCCTAGATAAGTGAAAGAAGTAACCTCTTTCAAATCCCTCCCGTTGATGGTGATTGGCACTGGATGTTGCTGCTGTTGTTGTTGTTGTTGTTGGTTGGTTATTTTCATAACCTCCGTCTTGTCTATGTTCACCTGGAGTCCTGTCTTCTCTGGCTGCTTCTTCGACCAGTTTGTCGGTTTTCGCTTGTAAGTCTTCGATTTTGTGTGACATCAAACATAAATCATCCACGCGCGAAATCCAGGTCTTCTAGGTTCTTCACGTCGGTCCAGGATATCGCTATCTTTTCGTTTCCCACTGTCTGGTGCATAATCCAGTCCACCATAATTAGGAATAGCATTCGTAATTTTTATATGGTTACTTATAATATTCAAAGGAGTCCATAGTATCAGCACGTGTTTCATAATAAAGAACAATTTTAAAAAAAGAAGAAATATATTAGATTACCTTGATATTTGACTCCAACACATTGCCTGGCACTTCACTTTTCACTGGTATTGGAATGCCTAATTCATTTGATTTTAATCGATCTGTATTGATTAGTTTCATCATCATCATATTATTATTATTATTAAATATCAAGTCACTAATTCCATTCAACGGTAAACGAATTTGATGCATTTTCTCTAAACCATCTAATTCATTTGAATCAAAATTTAACGGAACTGATTTTTGTGAAGATAATGTTGTTTCATTTGAAAATTTAAAAGAAACACTTGAAGTTGATACAGATGATTTACGCCTAGAGAAACTATTCATTCTCAGAGGTAATGAATACTGTACCCATTGACTACTTAAACGAACTGGTGTTGTTAAACTTTCCTTTTGATGATCATTCCAAGATTCTTTCAACTCCAATTCAAGACGATAATTTAAAATATGTTCAGGCTTCATAACCAACTATTAAAAGACAAAAAAAATAATAAATATATAATGGATACTGAACAAAGAATACTCTTTTCGATAAATTCATTATCAGGCTCTAAAATTATATATACATTATAGTGAATGAATGAATTAGTTATTTTGATTGCACACTAGTCAGTAACTAGTGTAATGCGTCTAGTCCTATCTTCGCTGCACACTGAATTCTATCAGTCAAGCTTGCAATGTGGCCACCATGCTAGGTGGCTAGCCATTACGGTGCACTGTGAATTGTTGGTATTAGATGGTTGGAGGCAATCGGCAGGATAGGACTAGATACATTACACTAGTTACTGACTAGTGTGCAATCAAAATATCCAATACGAGACTGAATAGCTCAGTGGTGCCGTCTCTGACTGCAGCACTGAGTGACGCGGGTTCGAATCTCAGAAGGGACATGAGTTCCGTCAAGGTTGCAGATACACCTTGCTGATGAGTGCCAACTAGCACGAAACCTAGGTCCAAGGCTTCCTGTCGATTGCCTCCAACAATCTAATACCAAGAATGAGTTAGTGTTATGAACAACATTCATGTTGTTTAAATAACATCAAATCAATAATAATATCAATAGATTACAGTTCAATAGCATCAACATAAAATAATCTGAATGTCAGAAAAATTAGGAAAGGTAATGTTACAAATTCATGAGTTTATAGTTTCTACTGAGAGCCAGGGCAGTGGTAGCGACAAAAAAAAACAAGATGATCGGACTCCACAAAAAAATAACTCTAGAATCTATATAGGCATGGATCAACACACACACACACGTAACAATGGTGAGTTAGCTGTTTCAAAACTCTGTGCGCTATACCTACCTACCTACCTGAAATCACATGATTGATAAAACTGTGCACATTGTGTGAGTGATACCCTCATCAAACAATTCAAAAAGAACAGACTATCTGCACGATGAACATGTCAATCAGTCAACCAAGCAGTCAATGGGGTCTACCATCATTTGAAAAAGAAAATCAATCATGTATTAATAGCTCAAGTCTATTAAAACCATTTCTAACTTGTGTTGCTTTTCGCATATCTTTCTGCACCGTGTGTGTGGATGATCAGCGTCAAGGTGAGGCGCATGCATACAAATATTCAGTCTTTATTTTACTTTTATTTTTTCCATTCTACACTGTGTTACATATTTTCAGCTTAGTCATTTGCTGTCTGCATGAAAAACAAAATGCTGATAAAAAAAAAATAAATGAATAAAGAATATCACGTTGTATTCCAAAATATATAGAAAAGACAAAAAGCTAATTAGAAATTGAGATCAGTTGAGAAAGCATAGAAGGTAGTTAATAATACTAAAATTAGTGTTTGATCTTATTCCAGTGAGCACTCATAAGCTTAGAACATAATCCAACCAAGAGTAGTAATATATATATATCAAATTTTAGCAAAGCAAGAAATATAGTTTTAGCAGAATAAATCTTTTATTTCATTGCCTTTTCGTCAGCTGCTTACAGGCCAAAGACATTAGTAAATATATCTACAAAAACAACTTTAGTTTGGTTTGTAAGGATTAGTTATGCTTTACGAGTTGATCACGGACTGATATCAGTTAGAGAACCATTGAAAACCAAGGAGTACTGGACAGCTGCTGTTTCATCCTAGTTTGGGAATCATCGGCAGTACGCACCCACTGGGATTCGAACCCAGGACCTTCCGGTTACAAGGCAAGTGGCTGAATGGTATACGAGCTTGCCTTGTAACCGGAAGGTCCTGGGTTCGAATCCCAGTGGGTGCGTTCTGATGATGATTCCCAAACTAGGATGAAACAGCAGCTGTCCAGTACTCCTTGGTTTTCAATGGTTCTCTAACTGATATCAGTCCGTGATCAACTCGTAAAACATAACTAATCCTTACAAACCAAACTATAGATAATTATTCTGATGCTCGCTAGTGACTTGCTACAGGTTGGAGCTTCCTGCAGTTCTAGTGAGAAGTCGTGACCAGTGAGGTCCAATTAGAAGTCACGTGTGGATGGATTTCCACCAACGACAATAGTTGGGGTCGCGCTAAAATCACGAATTGGTAGAAGTTAGAATTCATGAGCCATTGAACCGGGTCCCAGTGGCTGAATGGTATACGAGCTTGCCTTGTAACCGGAAGGTCCTGGGTTCGAATCCCAGTGGGTGCGTACTGCCGATGATTCCCAAACTAGGATGAAACAGCAGCTGTCCAGTACTCCTTGGTTTTCAATGGTTCTCTAACTGATATCAGTCCGTGATCAACTCGTAAAAACAACTTTAACATACTTGCACAGAGTTCAATTTAAACAAAGGAAAGTGACGGAAAGTTTCACTTCGTCGACATCGCCATGGAACGCCTAGAAGACGGTAGTCTTCAGAAGTCAATTTATCGAAAGCCTACTTGGAAAGGACAATACATACATTTCAATAGCTTTTGTTCAAATAGCTTTAAACGCGGTCTAGTCAAGACTCTGTATTATAGAGCGAGGAGAATATGCTCTATGGAAAAATTAGAGGAAGAATTTGAGTTTCTTCAAAAGATATTGAAGAGCAACGGGTACCCTCAAAGGTCCATTAACAAGTATGGAAGATCTGAAGTCACAAATGTAAAACAAATCACAGTGGGAAAAAAAGCCAATCTACATTCAGCTTGATTATAAAGGTGAAAACATTGCAGCGGTGATCAACAGAAGGCTAAGTACATCACTAGCCATAGCCTATCCTGCAGTTAAGCTCGTTCCCGTCTATCGAACAACTTGCTCTTTGATGCAATCAAAAATCGATAGATATCCTTCTCATGTTAACTCCAACTGTATATACAAATTTACATGTATCTGCGGGAGCAGTTACATTGGGAGAACAGAAAGAAGGGCATATCTACGATTTTCTGAACATGTACCAAAAAGCTTACATCTAAAGGGAACAAATGCTTTAAACAGTGCCATCGCCAGGCATCTCCTCGACATGGGTCATGAGGTGGACGTCGAAAAGTCGTTCAAAATTATCAATAAGCAAAAGAGCTCAATTCTCCTTAAGTTTGCTGAAGCCATTTCCATCAAGCGCCTGAAACCTGACTTATGCGTTCAGAAAGAAGCGGTTATCAGTCTTTCTTTGCCCTGGTAACTGGATATTTTTCATCCGAATGCGAGATGCTGAAAAGTTTTCATTGTGTATGATTATTATTGTTCGGAATTGTGTTTAATATTGCATATATATATGTATATATTATTACTGTATGCATATATTGATCGATTGATTGATTTTTGTTTAAAATGAACTCTGTGCAAGTATGTTAAAATTGTTTTTGTAGATATATTTAATAATGTCTTTGGCCTGTAAGCAGCTGACGAGAAGGCAACGAAATAAAAAATGGTACCAATTTATTCTGCTAAAACTGTAGTTCTTGCTTTGTTCAAATTCATTAAGGGGAATAAATGTATGAAATATCAAATTTTGAAAGTTAATGTATCAGCAGCTTAGAAATTCATTTCACATAAAACTGACAGAAATTTCCTTGAACACAAAAACAATTTCACATTCCTTTAATTTTATGTTAAGATCAATCGATTCAGCACAAAACAATCAAGAATACTCCAGAAACCAACCAACCGATAGCTTATCATGCAATAAATATGCTGAAGGGAAAGGAGATGGATTGAAAAATATGCCAAGGAGACGGTTGAGTGACATCACGCTCCATGCCCCTCCTTCGAGTGGATCCTGAGTGGGAAACGACCAGTATTGGGAGTCCAAAGGAGTGACATCGATAAGATCGTTTGAGAAGGAGATGAAAGCTTATAGGCGACCGTGAAGCCAGTCAAAAAGAAACTGCAGAAGACAAGGTGATATAGGGTTGTGTGCTGCTGGAACCCATTTTTCCACTCGACAAGAGAGTAACAACGGGATCACCATTGGGTCCTTTACTTGCAGACTGCTTCTCGGCAAGTTTGGAGAGTAGTCTGTTACGGCCTACTATCGATAGTTTTCATTTGTATCAACGATACATGGATGATACTTTTATCATATGTGACGAAGAATAATTATTACTTCGTTATTAGTATTTCATTTAGTAGGAATTCTAAGGTGTTTTCACTCATTCAGAGGTAAACTTTGTCAGCTTAAGAACCCGATAGATCCAATTAGGATATTATATATATATATATATATATATATATATATATATATATATGATTTACCAAATATCACTCAATGACTCTAAGGTCAATTACAGGTGTTAAACAAGTAGATCGGGGCTAATTATATTATTGAGAGCATAGGGATCTAGTTAGAGCCAGAATGATTGACCATGATGAATTAAGTAATCTGGGGGAAAGCTCCACAACTGCAATATGCATTCACTCGTATGTAATCCTACAATACGGTGGTACAGGGTAGAGGCATTAGAAAGTAGTAACGTTAAATGGAGCGAGAGAGAGGCTAATCACTGAATCTTCGTTCATAGTATCAACAACAAACACACGCAATAAAAAACAGAGAGTGAGGCTATCAAATCGTGTGAATACATTGATCTTGCCATGAGTAATAAATTGTGCTCAAGACACTATTTATTAGTTGGAGGATTTCATCATCATCTGACATCAGTTAGAGAACCGCTGGAAAACCTGCAGGGAGTACTGGACAGCTGTTTCGTCCTAGTTTGGGACTCTTCATCAGTGTGCCAGGACGAAACAGCTATCCAGTACTCCTTGCATGTTTTCCAATGGTTCTCTAACTGACGTCAGCTCATGATGAAATCTTCCAACCAATCAAACAAAATCCTCACAAAATCAATACTTGAAAAACATTATTTATTAATACCATATACTTTATTAAAGAAATTTATATAATATGGGAGTATGTTTTGATTGGACGCTAATTAGTAACTAGTATAACGTGTCTATTTCTATCTTTGGTGTGGACCGAATTCTATCAGTCAGGTTTACAATGTGGCCACCATTCTAGGTGGCTTGCCATCGAGAGCCCGAATAGCTTAGTGGTAACGTCTCTGGTTGCAACACTGGGTGACGCGGGTTCGAATCTCAGAAGGGACAAGACATCCGTGCAGATACGCCTTACTGACGAGTGCTAACTTGTACGAAACTCAGGTCCAAGGCTTCCTGCCGATTGCATCACACCATCTAATATGAAAGTATACAGGTTAACAGATAATATTCACCTCGAGACATACCTGAGGTAGAAATGAATACGACAAATTCGCTTCAACAGATCCATACAGAAATGTTTGAGCTTGAATATTTTCACCGAATAAATGTCCATTAAGTTTTGAATTAAACTGATACCGACTTTTATTATCTTCATTTGTTAATGGCTCATCTTCAAAGGTTAACATTAAATCGTGTATATTCAATGGAGAACAATTTGAAGATAGTAATTTTAATTTAAATCCTAAAGAAATTCGACGAGCTACAGCTGGTGGTGATGGTGATGATGACGATGCTTGTGATTGACTAAAGCTGGAGGATATTTCATTCACTTCGAATGACGGTGTTCTTATCACTGCATCCAATGCATATTCAATTTCTAATTCAATATAAATCGATTGAACTGAAATAGTTTTCACGAGATCATTTAATTCAGGATCTGTAGACAATCGATTCGTCACAGTCTGCCAGTATTTATCTGAATCAAATCGTAACCAAATAACACCCACATGAGTAGCGTACAATGGTAAGAGGTGTTCATCGAAATCAGAGTAATCATTAGGCAGTGAACCCGGAACTTCATAATTTTCTACGGGTAAAGGAAACTATAGAGATGTCGTTTTAAAAATTCAAAAGTAAAAACAAAACAAAAGACAATGAAATAAAGAAAATTGATAATAACTTATTGTTAAAATTCATGGCAATCATAATAAGGAAAAATATATATTATTAGACAATAGGATACAACACAGAGATGCTGTTGATGTTTCCAAAAATAGTTATTACAACCTGAATACAATGAGAGCCTTAACTGCACACACACACACACACACACAATAACAGGCAGAACAATCCTATCACAATAAGTATCTTATGAAGAGAGAAAAGGAGGACATGAACACGCCACTAATATATACTTTGACAGGTTTTGCTGCTTTCCACTAATTCTATGAAAAATTGAAATTTTTAATACTGAAGCAGTATTGAAAATTTCTTTCATTCAACAGTTTATTGGGATTGATGTAAACTTTAAGAGGAAGGCGGTCTAAGTGATGAAATTCCATGAAAGGTAATCCCCTGTCTTCATCTTTGAATTACGCAACATAGGTAAGAATTTTATAATTTTCAAGTATTGGTTTGTAGGGGTTTGGTTGAGCTGACATTGGTTAGAGAACCAATGAAAAACCTGCAGGGAGTACTGGACAGTAGTTTCGTCCTAGTTTGGGACTATTCATCAGTACGCACCCACATCAAGGGTTCGAACCAATGACCTTCTGGTTACAAGGACAGCGAGCTCGTAGACCATTGAGCCACTGGGACCCGATCCAATGGTCCTTGAATTCTAACTTTTGCCCACTCACGATAGAGCGCAGCCGCTAGCCATTTTACTAAACTACCTCTTCAAATCACGGAATACGTACATTATATCATAGAAGAAATTAAAAAAACGTTGACAACAGCGAAGAAAAAGTTTCTCTTTCGATGAAGTGACCAAATAGGCTATGCATTCGTATATTTTATGGTATTGAGTGAGAAGATCCCAGAGTTCCAGTTTAGCCTTCAGCCTACAAGTACTAGTGACATTTTCTTGTAGGAAACTATACAGTCAGCTACTTAAACATGCATATATACCAGTTCACTTGCTTTTGTGGAGCTGGTTACATTGGTCATATCATGAATCAGCTTTTAAACGCGCTCGGGAACACTATTCAGACTGGGTAGCAATGAGAGAACGTAGGTGTGTGTATACAGCTGGGTAACAGAACATCTGGTGAGCTCAGGGTATTCAGTTCTATTTGAAAAGTCCTTTTCCCGACCGAAAGCTGCTACCTTGACGTGGTGGTCGGGCTTGAACACCGCAATGACCCAACAAGCTATACTGGCTGGAACTTATGTTCCTGCAGGTCCTACCATGCCAGGAAGGTTGTTCGGATAGCGGTTAGACTAAAAGCAGTTACCCAACCCAATCCAATGACCTCGAATAAATCACAGAATATCATGCCGGATCAATCGGGGCCCGGATTAACAACGACCGCGCTTTCTGCTGACGTGTCACAGGGCAGAAGTGATAAATACGCTACTGAGACACACCAAATAAAAAAGAACAAACAAAAACAGGCCGTGTGTGACCGGCCTCAAGCAGTTGTCCCCTGGGCTCTGCGGTCACGCAACCAACTTCCACGGTGTGGGCAGCCGGGAAGTAACAATCGCCCTCACAACCCGAAGAGTACACGAAACCTCTCTATTCCTCACTCACCTTTGTCTTCATCTTCATCTCTATTATCTTACCTTCCTTCTACTAATGCAACTCCTCTACTTAATGGCTCTTCACTTCCTCTTCACTCTGTGTGCACTGAAAACGACGGAAGCCAAAAAGCCACCATCGATAGTCTCCTAAAGCCACGTCACCAATTTCATATAGGGGCATTTAACGTTAGGACACTTTGCCAAATAGGACAACAGGCATCACTAGCCAAGACTCTGGCATCCCGAGCCATTGATGTATGCTGTGTTTCAGAAACACGCATACAAGACCCAAGTGTGGTTATTCACCTAACCCCACCTGGCCAACAGGATGAATATGCAAAATTCACCTTGAGGGTGTCAGGAGATGAGACGGCTGGCTCACGAGGATTAGCTGGTGTTGGGATAGCTCTGAGTACTAGGGCAGAAAAGACATTACTTGACTGGATCCCGGTAGATAGCCGAATGTGTGCTGTCCGTCTGAACGGATCAGTGAAAAGGAGAAAGGACTGCACTACCCGCCGATGCCTTTTCGTAATCTCCGCCTACGCCCCCACTGACTGCAGTTCGGATGAAACGAAGGATGAGTTCTACCAAAAGCTGTCTAGTTTGCTGCGAAAGGCTAAACGCTCAGATATAGTCGTTATAGCTGGTGACTTTAATGCTCAAGTAGGGAAATTGTGTCAATCTGAGAAGAATGTCGGTGGCACATACAGAATTCCGTGCCAGCGAACCGACAACGGTGACCGTCTCCTACAGTTCTGTTCAGATAATCACTTGTTTCTTGTAAGCACTAACTTCAAACACAAGGAGAGACACTGTTTGACCTGGCGACCTCCATCATCAAACCAACGCTGGACACAAATAGACCACATAGCAATAAGCCATCGTTGGCGTGGGTCGGTAGGAGATTGTCGCTCCTTCTGGAACACGTGTGTAGATACCGATCACGCACTGGTCCGCGCTCGTGTGTGCTTACGACTGAACGGACGTAGGAAACAGCTGGCGGTAAACCCATCACGTCCCCAGCTCGATCAGGAAACTAAGTCCCTATTTGAGGAAGAACTAGCTAAACACATATCTGAGTTCGACAGCTGCGCTCACCCTGAAGAAGCCTGGAAGAATATTCAATCAGCCATAGATGCAGCTGTAAAAGCTGTGAATAAGGTAAATCCAAAGGTGAGTAAAAACCATTGGATTTCGACTGCCTCATCCGAACTGATAGATGCTAGAAGACTTATTCCGGCGAGCTCCGAATTCAATGAGGAGCGAAAGCTGCACAAAAGGAAACTTACGAAAAGTCTCCGCAAGGACCGTGAACAGTGGCGGTTGACAAAGGCGAAAGAGATGGAAAAAGCATCGGCGATAGGCAACACTAGGCAACTCTTTAAACTCATCAGGGAAACGGGTGGGAGAAGGCAAATCATAAGTGAGACTATTTGTGAGGAAAATGGCTCCTTAATTAGTTCTCAGGATAGACGCCTCGAGCGCTGGAAAGAACACTTTGAGGAACAGTTTAACTTGCCTACAGCCACACTGAACCTCCCCGCCATCCAGCACACACCCGAATGGGACATAGACACTGGCCCACCGTCTGTAAGTGAGGTCTCCAAAGCAATCTGTAATTTGAAACGAGGCAAAGCGGCAGGACCCGACGGAATTATTCCGGAGGTGTTTAAATATGGGGGTGACATACTAGCATATAGTTTAACTAAGGTACTAGGTAACGTCTGGGAATCAGAGACGGTTCCATCAGACTGGGGTAAGTCACTTATCATACCGATTTTCAAGAAGGGAGACAAGTCGTCATGTGATAATCATAGGGGGATCAGCTTAACGAACATAGTCTCTAAAATCCTAGGCTCAGTAATCATGAACAGACTAAGCCGAACTCGGGAGGAACAAACGAGGGAAAATCAAGCGGGCTTTAGGCCAGGTAGAGGGTGCATAGATCATATCTTCACTCTCCGACAGATCCTAGAACATAGACACACTTTTAGGCGTCCAACAATTGCCATATTTCTTGACTTGAAGGCAGCCTTCGACTCCGTGGATCGAGAGGTTCTATGGCAATGTTTGACTATGAAGGGAGTGCCAAGAAAGTACATTGCACTAATCAAGGCACTCTACTCAAACTCACGTAGCTGTGTAAGGGCTTATGGGGAATTGTCATCTGAATTGATAACAACCAGTGGTGTCCGTCAAGGATGTCCACTTTCCCCTTTTCTGTTTAACTTCATCATAGATATGCTAATGGAAGTATCCTTAACTGAACTTAACGACTTAGGAATCGACTTGTTACCAGGGAATAGTCTTATAGACTTCGAATACGCAGACGACATAGTCCTGTTAGGGGAGGATGCTGACAAAATGCAGAGTCTTCTGAACACCTTGAGCAGCAATCTTCGTATGTTTGGCATGCGATTTGCCCCTGTGAAATGTAAGATGCCGCTACAGGACTGGACTACGTCAACTCCTAGCTTAGTGATAGGGAGTGAAGTGATAGAACATGTTGACCACTTCACCTATTTGGGAAGTTGTATCAGCACCAACGGATTGACTGGTGACGAAATCTCAGCACGGATCCAAAAAGCTCGGGCTGCTTTCGCTAACTTACACCGTCTCTGGCGTAGGCGTGACATCCGGCTGTCAACCAAGGGACGTGTATACTGCTCAGCAGTTCGCTCCGTCCTTCTCTATGGCGGTGAGATGTGGCCATTGAGAGCGGAAGACATGAAGAGATTGTCTGTTTTTGACCACAGATGTTTACGATCTCTTTCTCGCGTTAGGTGGTATAATAAGGTAAGTAATGTTGACGTTAGGCGTAGAGTGTTGGGCAAAGTGGGAAAATCAATCGAAGAGGCCATAAAGTTACATACATTGAGATGGCTAGGTCACGTGCTGTGCATGCCTAGCCATCGCCTCCCCCCACCCCGACGGGCATTACTAGCTGATATAGGTGAAGGTTGGAAAAGAGTAAGTGGTGGCCAAACAAAAACATGGCCTCATCAATCCATGAAATCCCTGACAGTTAAACTGAGTCAGGTAGGGAGATGCAGACTTCCGAGTTGGGGCCCTCGAGACTCTAAGAATCAATGGCTGAAGACAATAGGTGACATGGCTCAAAATCGTTGTCAATGGCTTACGCAGATGTATTCAGTCTCTTTAACCTTCATACTCCTTTCTACCATTACTCATTTTGTTTCACTCTTATACTTATCTAAATTCTATTGATTCTCTTCTCCCCTTTTCCTGTCTACGTTTGTGTACTATTTGGAACGTGGCAACTCGAACTGCTGCACTTCGGTGCCAAGTTCTATGTTGAATCCAGCAGCAGCAGAAAAGTCCTTTGAAATCCTGTACAAGACGCAATCAAGCCTCTCAAAGGGAGTCAAATCAAGGCATTAACGATCCAAAAGTTCAAGAGCACGCTACACATTCAAAAGAAATACATCCAACCTTTGTCCTTACCATGACCATTATAAAAAGGACATTTCTCTCAATAATGTCTATCCTACTACGTTTATTATTCAAACTTCCTGTCTATTTTGTTACTACTACTACTACTACCCTTTTAATCCTTAAATGCACAAAAAGTCAAATTTTTCAATAATTACTGTCCAACTATGTTTTTGTCCGATCTTTCTGTTTATTCTGCTGGGATCGCATTTAATTTGACCGTCAATCACCCATTTATTATATATGCACGAATGTGCAGTCTAGTTGATGACTTCGTTGAAAAGAAACTTTCCTCCGATGCCATCAGCCATCTTTTTCATTTTTCCTGTACACTACCTCTATATTATACCTTATTGATCAGGACATATCGACAGTGCATCACTAAGTGCTGTGGCGAAAAAGACAATAGAAGTCTTTAGGGAATGTTATTTACATCTAGTTTTGCCTAAAACCTTAAAAAACTATTCTGAGGAGTTATTGCGCACTGGCGTCAGCCCTTTGCCTTTCCCTCTGTTTGAATCGCTGGATTCCCATTGGTTATTAATACTTTTGATGTATCACTGAATAACTGCATTTTCAAGGTCATTCTAACTGTGTTTTTATGAGACAGCAAAAGCTCTCTTATCGACGTCCAGGCTTTCGTCTTTGCACACAAGCGGTGTTATTGTTATTGTTAACGTGGGATTAGGACAGATTAGCCAATGCATTAAGTTCGTATTCACTCACAGTCTACTAGGTCGCAGTCCCGGTCACAACAAGAAAAGTCATACAACTGGCGATCAGAAGGCAATATACAAAAAGAGATCCTTTTTAAAATCAATACAGAGAACAAACTCACCTTCTTACGAATGTCTTCAATACCAATGCATTGGATAAAATCAGCTGCAGTCAAGTTTAATTTCGTCAACAATGATAAACTTGTTGATACTGATTTGACATTGACATGCAGAAGATTGAGATGACGTTTCAGTGAACAATAATAACCATCACAATCATAAATGTTTTCAGGACTATTAGTATTATTACTATTATTACTATAGTTATGATCATTATGATTGATAGGATTATCATTGTCACTGCTATTATCAGCATTGTTTTTATTCACCATTGGAATATTGATTCTGTTCTCATCACGAATGTATAATTCTATGGGTAACCATCTAGTCTCATATGGAAATATGGACAAGTCTAACTGTAAAAGAAAACAAAATAATATGAATATATAACTTTCTGGGAATTACTACAGAATGTGAAACAGGCAAGAAATAAACTCCTGTAACGATAATGAACTAACTGAAAAAATAAAAGCTATTCAGACCTTCCTTAACATGATAGTATCAGCGATAAGTATGTGGCATGTGCAGATTCACCGAAAGCGGCCAAACATTGAAATCAACATTTCAAGTTAATGGATGAAAAGGTAGAAGTGTTTGTATTCCTCAAATTTGGATTAAGTTTATGTTGTGACCATGAAATAACCTTATTGGACAATCTTGCTTAACCTTGGGCCAGTTGTTAACCAATCAGAACGATTTGTGATGAAGAATAAGGACTTTCAGTATGACGGAAATTTCGAAGTTTCATGATTTTAAAAAAAGAAAACTAAAAGTTTCCCGATGTAGTGAAGTTTGCAAATGGTTTCTAGTTGTATAAAGAAATAAACAAAATGTCTGATTGGTTTTCTTTGAAGCTTCTAAAATAAATGGGAGGCGGTTGAAGCATATTCCTGGAAGCTGATCACAGTATAGTAGGTGTTTCTTTCTTTCTTATGAACATCTTGCAAAGTGAGTTCTCCTTGAACTCATATAAGCTGCCGAAAGACAGTCATAAATCTTGTAATCCGAAACATGATATGAGTATAAAACTTGGGCACTGTGGTAGAGCATAACTCTATTATGGATAAGATTTTATTTTGATTATTCGCACAGTGCTATAATGATACTAAGTTACTTCGTGGGATCAATCATTTTAACCTTAGTTAAATTCTTATGTTCTGATAATCTCACTACTCCTGATCCATTAGTTTGACCTATGTAGTTGTTCTCACAGTCATTGCAAAGTATTTTGTAAATTGTATTAATTTGTTGAATTGAGTCTGCCGGGTCCTGTAGCCTACTATATGACCATCAGAGGAATTCATGGTTGTCATCTAAACAGGTGAGGCAATATTACTGACTTCTTATCTGTATATACTGAAAACATTTCAAATTTTTCAAAATGAACCGTATATTTCTACAGCTCTCTGTCAGCTTAATCTGAGAAATAGCCTATTGAAATCCCCCAGAAGTTGATGAATCAGTATCTCCACCATATGCAAACTAAAGTTGGATGAAGAACCAAGTAAAATATAACTGTAAATCTGTTAGACTATTGTCTAGTGTTAACTGGTGGATGTTGACTAGCACTGAAATCCAGGATGCTCATTTCGTCCTATTTTAGGACTCGTCACTGGATGTACCTGCATTCCGTAGTGAGTGATGATGTTCCCACCTAGGCTGGTACATCCAGCTGACGAGTCCCAAATAGGGGAAAACGCGCATCCTGGATTCCACTGCCGCTAGACACCATCCACCAATTAACTTCTAATTACATGCCCAGACATCGTCAAAACATCTGCACACATACACATGTTAACTTGAGACCGAGCACTTCGGTCCAATCAATCGACGGGAAAATTTGACATTGAATTAAATATTCTCTAGTGTGTCTACAATCAGTGTTTTGAACACTTGCTTTGAAAAGAAAGGGTGAGGAATTCAAGCTGGTAGTAATCATTATCAACATCGTTGCACCAACTGTTAACTTGTTATAAACGACTACAAGAAAAAAAGGTATTCTACTATTTGACTAAGTTGTCGACAGAAAACCTGGAGATTGATTTTTTTAGTATAGGGTTTCAAAGTTGCCATTACTTTATGCACTATCGTTGAAATTACTCACTAGTAAAATTATTTTCCAGAGGATTCTTTACATCCCCACAACTGACATCACAAACTGAATACATGTGTGTACTGTTTGTCATGATTTCCACTTAGTCTTGAAGATCATTGATGTGAAATTTCAAAGTCTAAGCGAAGGTGTTTATACTGAATCACAGGTTTTGTTGTTAAAAATGGTGAAACTAGTTTTACGAAAAGTGTCGGGCCCTGTGAGTTGGTGGCGCAGCGGTAGAATGCTCGCCAATCACACAGGTGGTCTGGGGTTCGATCACCGGCCGACTCACTCCTATACCTCGCTGAGCCAGTTATGAGACTGGTAAAGAGGGAAGGTTGAGCATGAGGCTAGCAACCTCATCCTGTAATAAAATAAACACCACCGCTACAGAAACTTCAAGGCTCTAGCTTGAAGTCCTATGTTCCACTGAGAACATCAAGGAATAATAAAAAAAGTTTTACGAAACGATTTACATTTGTAGAAAAACACATACGCCAATCAACTAAAAATCAACAGTGCTGAGTGTTAACGATCTAGTTGCCATATCTGATAGTCTTAAACACGATTCTGTTTGTGAACAATTACAAAATCTCAAAGTAACTATTGATTCAATATTGATTTTCAATGTTTTTTTATATACTTGCTGCTAAAGCGTAATGAAAAACAAAAAAACTAGTTTGAAAATGATCAATTCAGTATTCAGGCAACCAATAAAGTAATTCATATGAACAGTGATCAAAATTTGACCGAATAGTTTCACAATAATTGGCCACCGAGTGAGAAGTAAACATTATATTTAAACAAAACACGTAGTTCAGCGACGAATTTCTTCACTTAGCTGTACAATCGCAATTATATTTTATACTTATTTTTGTGTGTGTACATTAAATTTTTCCGATAAGAATAAAATAAGTTAGGGTTACTGTTCTCACGACAAGAATATCAAATCAAAGGTCCACAGGAACAAAACACCACTTTAAGTGAATCTGGATTTCAAGGGAGACTTAGCCTGCGATATCCTCAAGAGGAGAATTTTACCATCCTCGAAAAGAACATTTCGTCGCAGCAACTCTCAGAGTGGTGTTCGCCAGTCGCCCGTTGATCTGCAGAAGCCTTAAAGACAAGATCCCGCATCTGGCCACTGCTATGTGGATATATCAATTCACCTGTTGCTGTTGAGCCAGTAACATTGGTCGTTCGACGCGTATCCTGTCCAAAAGGTTTCGAGAACACTATCCCGCATGGTTGCAAAAAGGTAATAGTCGTTGTATAAGGAGTGCGATAATCAAACATCTCGTAAACATTGGTCATTCCATCTCAACAAACACCTCCTTCAATGTGATCTACAAGGCGAAAAACAACCTACCAAAGGCAACACGCTTTTGTGTCCTTTGTATTGTTGAAGCCTTAGCCTTTCCATTTGGAGAAACCATAAAATCATCCAACCATTTCTACTATCATGGTAACAACCGTATTGACTTCTACAGACTTGATTTTTGTGTGCTCGTTTTCTTTCTAATTCCTTATAACGTTTGTAATTTTTAGAACTCTTACAAAGTTTCATATTCTCCTTTGTTTCTATGTGCATCTTAATCACAACTCATTCATTAAACTATTCATCTTATTACGTGACTGCATTACGCTTATTCAACTTCTTTTATATGTTAATAAATACGTTTTTTTGACAACACACCACCACTACCCTCTTACCAATCTTCACCCCTCCCTCATAGCTACACTTTGATTACTCATCACCTTTTTGAAATATCTTGACAACAATAACACTAACTTATTTTTATTCTTATCGAACAAACCTAATGTACACATACCTACAAAAATAAGTATAATATGTAATTGTGATTGTACAGCTAAGTGAATAAATTCGCCGCCGAAAAGAGACTCTTCGCTGAACTACATGCATTGTTTTCATTAATGTCTGGATGGGGATTATTCATGAAAACTATATTTGTAAAACCTCAGCGAAATTAAAAATAAGTAATCTCTCTAATCTGAATGTTCATTATTATACTGAATTACTTATTTCAATTTCACTGGGATTTTACAAATATGATTTTTATTTGTGTCAATGAATAAACTAATCTAAGCTGGAAAAATAATTTTCAAGTATTGGTTTTGTAGGGATTTTGTTTGATTGGTCGAAGGATTTCATCATGAGATGACATCAGCTAAAGAACTATTGGAAAACCTGCAGGGAGTACTGGATAGCTATCTTGTCCTAGTTTGGGTCTCTTCAACAGTACGCATCTACCACTGAGGTTCGAACCCAACATCTTCCTCTTACAAGGCGAGCTCGTGTAGACCATTAAGCCACTGGGGCCCGATCCAATAATAACAATCACCTTCTATATCACAGGTGGATAGTACGCAGGCGTACAAACTATCTAACAAAATGATGTTAAGACAGAAAAGTTCTTTATTAGCCATGAAGTCATGATTTGTGCACTGATATGATAATCTAACTGGACAATTCTTGATTGGTTTATTTATGGCTTAGTTTTCTGAGGGTTGAGATGTCATACAGCCAATCAAATTTAGTCATTTCATTTATGGCTTAAATACCTGAGATTTTGTAAATATGATGTATTTTGTCTAATAAAGGTTATGGCAGTTATTTACTGTTGTTTGTATCTCTCAGTTTATTTAAAAAATGTGCTGTCTGGAGATGTATTCTAGTCACGTCGAACGACCTTAAACATAAGTAATGCACAATTCTAATATCCATTGACTTGCACCTGGGTCAATATATCAACAAAACAGAAGCGAAAACAACCCTCAGTGTTTTTTAACGACAAAATTATTTTTCTATAGTTTGGTTTGTAAGGGTTAGTTATGTTTTTACGAGTTGATCACGGAATGATATCAGTTAGAGAACCATTGAAAACCAGGGAGTACTGGACAGCTGTTTCATCCTAGTTTAGGAATCGTCGGCAGTACGCACCCACTGGGATTCGAACCCAGGACTTTCCGGTTACAAGGCAAGCTCGTATACCATTCAGCCACTGGGACCCGATTCAATGGCCAGCCCATGAATCCTAATTCCTACAAATTCGTGATATCAGTCCGTGATTAACTCGTAAAAACATAACTAACCCCTACAAACCAAACTATAGAAAATTAATCTGATGCTCGGTAGTGACTTGCTACAGGATGGAGCTTCCTGGAGTTCTAGTGAGAAGTCGTGACCAGTGAGGTCCAATTAGATGTAACGTGTGTGGATGGATGTCCCACCAACGACAATGGTTGGGGTCACGCTAAATCACGAATTGGTAGAAGTTAGAATTCATGAGCCATTGAGTCGGGTCCCAGTGGCTGAATGGTATACGAGCTTGCCTTGTAACCGGAAGGTCCTGGGTTCGAATCCCAGTGGGAGCGTACTGCCGATGATTCCCAAACTAGGATGAAACAGCAGCTGTCCAGTACTCCCTGCTAGTTTTCAACGGTTCTCTAACTGATATCAGTCCGTGATCAACTCGTAAAAAAAAACAAAATTATTATCAAAATTTGCATTTATAGACAGGATGACCTGAAGAACAAAATCACAAAGAAACTATTTAAAGAATTATTCTCTCTTCAATTACTTTTAAGATATTAACAGATGAGTTCTAGACGCATACACTAAAGAGGACGGTGAAAAATAACCAGTATATGGAGCGGATTGAAGCGGAAAAAAAGCTATGTTTTAAACAACTAGTATAATATTCCAAGAAATTTGTATCATGTATAATCTGGATATGTATAATCCTATTAATAGTAATAGTTGAAATATTATTAAGTAGTCAAAAAATACGTAACAAACATTTTTTCGTGCTCGAGAACATCTCTCACTATGACTAAGTAAAGGTGTAGTTAAACCATCAACAGTTCGATATTGGACCATCTGGTGCAAACCGGCCAGCCACAAAGCCAGCCAAGGTGGAAGAATCCTTCTCTACAATCTACTGGGTGCCTAATAAATTGCCAAAATCATCGAAGCACCACATGCTCCAAACAGCAGAGGCTATTGCAATTCGCCTCAAACAACCAGTGCTCTGTGTTCAAAAAAAGCAAGTTCAGCCAGCCAATACTACTGCCCTGGCCGGCATTCAGTAGAGGCTAGAAATTCATGAATTTGTAATATTATCTTTCCCAATTTCTCTGACATTCAGCTTATTCTATGTTGATGCTATTGAGCTGTAATCTATTGATATTATTGATTCGATGTTATTTAAACAACATTAATGTTGTTCATAACACTAATTCATTCATTCACTATAATGTATATATATAACTATAGAGCCTGATGATGAAGAGGTTATCGAAAAGAGTACCCTTTGTTCAGTATCCATTCTTTTGAAAAATTTTTAATGGGTATTTTTAATCGGTTAAAACATCTGAATACATGAGATCATAGAGTAATTAGAATTAAAACTCACCACAGCTGCTACACGATTAGACCATTTCGATGGATCAGGGACACGAAATCTCGACAGGCCAAGATTGTGCATTTGTTTGGTTAAATCACATGTATGCTTAACATCCACTTCATCTTTTAAGATATTCATAGCTTCTGTTAAATCAAATGCACTACATATACGACCTGGAAAAATACATAATCTTGGCATAGCAGGTTGTAATCTAATCATTGGTAATAATGAAAATTGTATACCTAATGCATTCGACAATAGATGTTCATTGTCAAATTCATATGCGCCTGAAGCATTAATTGATGAAAATATCGGCTCAGAACCAAATGTCCAAGAAGAACGAACAGTTGACAGCGTCGATGTAGATGAACAACTTGGATGTCTTTCATGTCCTCCTCTATGAGGTAATTCACCACTAACACCAACACCACCGCCACCACTGCCAACACCACAAGAAGACATAGAATAAATATATTTGAATGGTGGTCGTAGGCATACTCGCATTCCACCACAATCAACTAGACGATAAGTGATTCCAACAACTCTATACTTTTGAAAATAAAGTGAATAAAAAAAAGAAACAAAACAAAAGAAAGCCACTTGTTATTGTATATCACGTGTAAAAATATTTCGAGAAAATATACATATTTATATCTACTTAGTATTCCATAATAAACAACTGTAGGAATAATGCTTAGAAAGTGAAATATAGTGTGTGAAACATACGTTGACGAAATGGGTTATGTAATACAACCTCTTGGCGTCGGTGGCATAGCGGTTAGGACGTTCGCCAACCATGCACATGGTCCGGGGTTCGATCCCCTGCCGACGCACTCCCTTACCACGCTAAGCCAGAAATAATGCTGGTGAAGAGGAAAGGTTGGGCATGAGGCTAGCAACCCCATCCTGTAAAAATAAACACTGCTACAGAAACTTCAAGCCACTAGCTTGAAGCCTTATGTTCCACTGGGGAACGTGAAGGAAAAAAAAAAATACAACCTCTACCATTAAAGGTGCCCTATTAGGTGAAGGATAAACCTGCAGAAATCATTACGTGTCGAACTCGTATGCATTGTTGAAGCTTTGACCGTTGGAAGAGAAAAGCCAGAGCCTTGTATTTAAAAGAGAAGGTTCGTTCAACCACTCTTTCTTTTATGATCTTAATATATCTATGTCAAGTTACTCGAACCCCCATTTCTATCAATCTGTATATATCCACCCTTTATCATTTTTATTGTCACTATTATTTTCACTAAGAAGGCGTTCCAGGATTTCACTTGCATTCAAGCATCTCTCATTCAAATGTAACACTGAGAACAATTCATAAATCATATATTGCATTCGAATATGCATTCTGTGTGAAATAAACAGGCAGCAATTGTGTCTGTCATTCCATCCAGTCGGAAACTAAACTATCTCTTACAAAAGAGATAGATTTTCGATACCTCAGTCATGTCAATACAATGAGTGTTTATCACCGGTTTCGTAGTCACCTGCTCAAGCCATACACTGTCACTAGACTCACTCACTGTCTACCTACCTATACTTGAAACTTTTCGTCTTGCAAATGACAAGGAGAAAGCGTGTAATGCCCAGTGGTACACGTGTTGTTGTCAGTAGAATTGATTGCCAGTTAACTGTGATGATTTACTTAATATGCTTGGTTTAACTGTCTAATATATATCAAATAACTCTTTTCTGTAGGACTCCTGAAGCGAAATCTGAGTCGTCAACTGAAGCAGGTACGCATTCATGTAATATTTCATTGCTTTTCGCAATAAAATTATGAACTTGAGCAGTTTTTTCACCCTACTAACTGCAGTTTGCACACGTCTTCACCTGCTTGTCTTCAATCTTCCTCGATTCACTCTGCCTCTCAGATCCGGAATACTCTCTCATGTCACCCATCCTGATTTCCTCAGGAACCAACATCTGTTAGAAAGATTATTGAAGATGTAGTGGGAAGTCATGACAAGTGGGTTGGTCCACTCTGTCAAGCTGAAGGTTAGAATTTATGGTTCAGTGAATTCCGACCCAAATGGCTGATTCGTCAGCAAGCTTAGTCTTGTAACCTAAAGATTCCAGATTTGACTCCTGGTGGAGTCATGGGTGCTCGCTACTGAAGTGTCCCGTAGTAGCACGAAACAGATGATCAGTACATCCTAGTTACGAATGATCTCCCTAACTGATTTTGGATTGTGGCAAAATCTAACAACTGAAGTCAAATTGATCCAAATTTCGCTATTAACTCACTAGTCACCTTTATTTATTTAATTCATTATCAGTTTTTGCAATGTTTTCTTAATATAATTCTCATCTTATTGCGCAATGATAAAAGTCTACTGATCAATCTTATTAATTCTACACCCCTATAAGAGATTTATACATTCCATCACCCATTTCACTACGGCGTGCCCCAAGTCTTTATCAACCTCAATCAACAGCTAAGTATGACAATGGCACATTTCAATTGATCTACAATGGAAAACTCAGCGAGGCATTCGAAGTGAATACAGGAGTAAGACACGACTGCATATTATCACTGATGATATTCTATAGTGTGGTTGACAAGATTATGCGTCGTCAGACTGTGCACAGGGATTGAGAGGAGAGGAACACGTTGGGCCGAGAAAAGAAGAATCTAGAAGATGTGGATTTCGCAGATTATTTATGTTTAATGTTACACAGACTCGAAGGTTTACCAGAGAAAACCAGCCAGTTGGCAGAAGAGGCTGGCACCAAAGACGAGGCCTCAAGTAAACAGAGAAGACGGAAGTGATGAAGACAAACGATCATCCCACAGCAACAACAACCAGAACCAATCACCATCAATGGGAGATATTTGAAAGATGTTACTCCCTTCCTTCACTTATCTAGGAAGCATTGTTCCAACCACAGGCAGTCGGATGGATGAAGATGTCAAAGCCAGTCAGAATCGGAGAGGCAACACACATCCTCATCAACCTGAAACTAGTGTGGAAATCTTCTGCACTCAGTCACCATAAACAACAAGATTCGGATTTCCAACACAAATGTCAAGTCAGTCAGTTCTTCTAAACGGTTCAAGAACTTGCACTGTGCACTACGAAAAGGATTTCCAACACGCAACTGCAGACTTTTATCAACAACTGCCCCCATCGCTGGCTGGCTCCATACTGAAGATAAAATGACTGGCTGGACAGAAAGAATTAGCAGCAAGAAACTCTGGCTGGTAACAAACCAACCAAATAGCCGATAGCTCAACAAATATGTGGGAGAATATGGAGATGGATCGGGCATACATCACTGAGCAGGTCGTCGAATGACACTGCGCGCACTGCAGGTGATTACTCCAGTGGAATGCAAATGGAAAGCGATGAGTGGGTCGTCAGTGCGAGAGTGACATGGAGGATATCGTGTGACGAGGAGGAGATGAGAGATAATGGGCAATCGTGGACCCATCTGAGGAGGACGGCAGAAAATAGAACATGATGGAGATGTTTTGTTGAAGCTCTATGTTCCACTCGGAAACCAAGGGAAATATAATAATAATATAACAAACCATTTCATAAAACAGAGTTGTTTTTTCTCTCAGGAGGTTACCTATGAAGAAGTCTAACAAAATGTGAATAATCTATGATTTATTTACTGTTTAGCTGGACGGACTGATTGGATAGTGTTCATTAGCATCAAAAATGTGTGCAGCTGGAAGCACGGTGAATAGTATTTCGTATAAATAGTTAATAACTCCTGATATATATATATATATGCTCTGCTGAAATAATTACAAAACAATTTGATATTCGGTTCCCATAGCAGAGATAACTCTACACTATAAACGCTATTGTGTCACAATGAATAAAACTGAACCAACAGGAAGTACATTGAGTGACGACTAGAACGTGACAGATAAACTGTAAAAGTGGTAAAAGCTGCGAAATGAACGCGCTATTTCATGAAATGGTAGAAGTTAGAATTTATGGGCTGACCATTGGTTCGAGTCCCAGTGGCTGAATGGTCTATGAGCTCACTGGCCTTGTAACCAGAAGGTCCTGACTTCGAACCCCGCGGTGTGGATGCGTACTGATGAAGAGTCCCAAAGTAGGACGAAACAGTCGTCCAGAACTCCCTGCAGGTTTTCTAATGGTTCTCTAACTGATGTCAGCTCATGATGAAATCCTCCGACCAATCAAACAAAATCTCCTTTTTCACACACACACGCACGCACCACGACACAACGTGACAATGCGCTTGTAAACATCGCAACCTTGAAACGTCTGAATGACTTATCAAACACTTTTATTCTTGTTTATTAAGGAGGCTTATATCTCGATTAGATGACGATAGTAATACTGAACAACATAAACAAGAGATTATATGCTATCAGAAAGACACCCTGACAATGTGACCAAATCAATGGTAATAATAATATCAGAATAATTTTTATACATACTTGAGCGCATGGATTTGGTTCATCAGATGAAGTGCCTGAAAATAGCATATCTACAGTTGGAATTACACCGATAGACAACTTGATTCCATTAGTACGTGATGGCAGTTTACAATTTACATCTACAGTAGCTTTTCGCCAAAAGCATTCTGCATTAGAATTGGGAAATTGACGACGTAAGTCAGCTTCTTCCAATAGACAATTATTTTCCAATTGACCAGAAAATCCATTCTATGAGGAAAAACAAAATTTCAATGTTAAATAAAAATCTAGTGATTTTTTGTTGTATTACAAGTGAAAAGCATGAGAGGCTTCAAGAGGTATGCTAACCCCTCCTAACACCATTCATGCAGAGAGACCGATAGTGTTTTTTTTGTTAGTGAACAATTCAGAAACGCTAGTTTAGTTTCAAAAAAACCAATCTCTACAACCTGTGTCCTCTGTTAAAACGATATGTAACATTATTTATATTGGTGAGAAAATAAAAAACAATATCGAATACCGACTGACTGGTTTCAACGTAGAACTTTGTACAGGTTTGTAGCAGTTCGAGTTGACACACACCCTCCATGTACCACACAAAAAGCAAGCGAAGAGAGTGAAGAGAGATTCAATAGAGCGAGATAATAAACAGGAATGTGAGGCGAAAAGAATAGTAATACGGAAGAACAGTAGATTTTTATTGGATATTATAAATCACAAGGAGTGGACGCATCTGCACCGGCTATAAAGAACGGCTTTGAGGCATATCACCAATCTTCTCCAGGTCTTGGTTTTTACCATCCCGAGGACCCCAATCAAACTGGAAGCTTACACCTGCCTGATTGGCTGGCTTAAACTAGCTGCTACGGATTTTATTGACTGATGAAGACATGTTTTGGTCTGACCACCACTAGTCGTTTCCTTTCCAACCTGATTCTTCCTATGTCAGCTAACATCGCCCGTCGATCGAGGAAGGCGAGGCTAGGCATGCATAACAACACATGACCTAATCATTTCAATCGATGTAACTTCACAACCTTGTCGATTGATTTCCCTTCCATACCTAGCATTCGACTGAGGCCTGACCTCAATATAACTCACCCTATTATATACCACCTAACACGGGAGATAGAACGCAGGCACTTACGATCAAAGATAGCTAGCCTTTTCATGTCTTAATAAGAAATACGAAAAACATTAATGACAAGAAGCTGAAAATCCGTATATTATTTTGGCTAATCAGTCTAAATCTTTACAAAAATGTTTTATTCCCGACATTACTCAAAATAACAGTTAGGCAATATATATATATATATATGTCATATATGTATACATATATATATATATATATATATATATATATATATTACATATATGACTGGTTTGATTTTCATTTTCCTTCACGTTCCCAGTGGAACATAGGGCTTCAAGCTAGAGGCTTGTAGTTTCTGTAGCAGTGTTTAGTTTTACAGGATGGGGTTGCTAGCCTCATGCCCAGCTTTTCCTCTTCACTAGCTTTAGTTCTGGCTTAGCAAGGTAAAGGAGTGCGCCGGCCAGGGTTCAAACCCCGGACCATGTGCATGGTCGGCGAGCGTTCTAACCACTATGCCACCGACTGGTTTGATTACTCTGATTAATTTTCATTTACTGTGGTGTCTTCATCCATGAATACAGTGGCCGATAAACAGCTAACACAAAAGATAACTACTGTTTGGAACGACGCCTTTCAGACAATAGTCATTAAGAGACAGAAATTACTTGCGTTTAAACATATTTTTCAACTATGACAATGACACAGAAATCTCTGAAACTGTCGCGTAAACGACTGCAATACTTTGGCATATTTAAAGATTTTAAAATGATAAAAGGTAATCATAATACCTCTTTACTTTGATGTTTCGTATCTTCCGACTGACAGGCGCCCAACTGTTTCGTCGATAGAATTTTAGTTGTTTGTGGTGTTTCTACAACTAGACAGATAGCCTCCAAGTGAATTAGGCTTGATAGATTGTCCGAGCACCCACCATTCATAGTATTATTACTGAACGATGAATCATAGTCTGATGTTGTAAATGATATACGATTTGGTGAGGGTTCTTTTGTTAGTCCACCACCGGTAATTGGCATCAATTCAACGTGCTACATTTACAAATATAAGAAAATTCAGTAGTGAAAATAATGAGCAATAGTAATAATAATAACAGCAGGTTTGTTTAGGAAGATAAAATAAAAGTCAAACTGAAAACGAATACAGTTTCAGATATGTTTGACTTGACTGCAGGCAACCTTTGCAATTCAAGAGCTAAGTTTTGGAGGTAACTTGGTATGTGACAGCTAGTGACGATATCCGTGCGTCGGTGGCACGGCGGTAGAATGTCCGTCCGGCCGACACACTCCCAAACCTCGATAAGCCAGGAATAAGAGTGGTAAAGAGGGAAGGCCGCGCATGTGGTTAGCAACCCCGTCCCGTAATAAAATAAACACCACTGCTACTGAAACTTCAAAGCTCTAGCTTGAAGCACTATGTTCCACTGAGAATGTAAAGGAATAATAAAAATTAACGATATCCTCGGCGTGAATTTCGTCGTATTCAGGGATCATCATAGGTGGACGTATCTGTAACCTGCTGAAATTCTTGGAACTTCGGTGAAATAAAAAACATACTATGTTAGGCTTTCATGAAGACATCATCTCACACATCTATCGCTACACAAATACAATCTAGGTTCAATAAAGGAAACAGCCATTAATAGTTTCACAATCAAAACAAGAGTGTGAAAAAGTATTTAGTTAGTTAGTTAGTTTTTATTTTATTTTCATTACAGCTTGGTGCCACACCGTATTTTCAGTACAAGTATGGAATTTTCAGCATGGATATCGGTAGCCCAAATTTTGCAGGCCAACCATAGATATCGGGTGTGCGGCGGCAGGGGATCGAACCTCGGACCATGTGCATGGTCGGCGTGAGTCCTAACCACTGTGCCACCGACGCAGTCACCCAGTACGAGGCTATAAGTCACACTTCTTGTGTGGTGGCTAATGATACTCCTTAGTTGATCAGGGGGAAACAGGCAGAGCAGGACTTGAATCTTGGACGCTTTGGCTGAAAGTCGAATGCTTAAGCCAAGACTTAAGCCACGTCTGCACAAAAAGATATTTGGCCATAACTAAAGGGTAGACACTGACTGATAACACCAAGAGTTGTGTATTCAGCAGTTGTGAACAATGCATGTGGGTGAATAATAAACTAGGTGGTAACAAGAATTACTTAGATTATAAACAGAATTAGGAAGAAAGAAACAGCATAAGTCAACACTTTCTCGGATGAAGTATCAACACCTTTTAAGAACAAGTTTTCATTCACAGCCTTAAAAAAAACTATACAGACTGGGTATTCAGAAATGTACGTTATACATGCACAGTTCATTATGCACACGTAACTTATCAGATTTTAATTCTTTATAACTAGTTCGATAGACGAAGCGCTACAAATTTTAATGAGTAACTCATATCGTAGTAAATACCATCATGCATTGTTACACATTGGTTTTGGCATTTATCATATATAAAGAGTTCAGATGCATGAATTCATAGACAAGCCTGTGAAAAATGGTCACGTTACACCTTTTGGGAATAAGGTAAACCCTTCAACTGAATAACCGCTTAATAGCCTATAGCCAAATAAATGTTTAGAAAATCCCTCATGAATGATATACTCACAATATGTTTAAACATACTCTTTTCTCCTAGACTGCATATCACTGCTCTGATGTGTGCATGTCATCTGTTGATTTAATGCTTATTACTTGTCTTTGCCCCTCTGCTTAATCACTAATTTCAATGCTTCTATTTGTGGTCGTGAGGTACATTGATGATGTGTTATTTTACGACTGCAATTTTCGTTGAATAAAGTCAAGGTGTTATCACCTTGGATTGTCTGCGGGAACTGTTTAGTGAGTGATTCTTGCTGACGGAGCTTTGATCCCACCTTGTTATAAATATTCTTCTTGATTCTCAGGTACTTCTTAAGGTTGAATTTGGCAAAATAATTTCGTCGAACAGTAATTATTTTACAGATAAGAAAGTGCTGGGTTTTTATACCTGCCTAAAGGTATTGTTGAGGTAATTTTGACTATTTGATATGTTATTATTATAATTATTTCCTTTAATTCCTAGAGGAACATAGGGTTTCAGCAGCAATTCTTCATTGCGTTCAGTTCTCCACCAACCTTTTCACCTGGCTCCACGTCTGTCCACATGCTTCCATCTCCTCTTCACATGGCCTCCTCCATGTCAATCTCGCACCGACGACCAACTCGCCACTTCCTAATCGGGTTACACTCGAGCGATGGCTTGGCGTGTGATGTCACTTGATGGTTTGCTTTCTCAAAGTATGGCCAATCTACTTCCATTTCTGCCCGCATATTTGTCGCACAATTCGTTCCTGGTTGGTTCGCTCCCATAGATTTCTGTTCCTGATCTTTTCTGGCCGACCAACTGATCTTGGGTATGGAGCAAATACAGCTGGTGATGAAGGTCTGTAGTTCGTTCGAAGTGTGCCCTTCGTGATGCGGCGCCAAGTCTCTGATCCATATACTGAGTGGTACTGACTTCACATTGGAGTTGAAATCCGGATCTTATTTTTCATGCTGAGTGCTGTTCATCTGCACACAGAATTGAGAGTAATGAAAGCTCTCCTTGCTTTCTCGATCCTCACTTTGATATGTGCATCAGTTCTTTCCGACTGTAGTTGAAACAATGCTTCCCAGGTAGGAAGGTAGGTGATTTCTCCCACTTATGCTGATTGTTGTCTGTTGTTGTTGTGTCTGTCGCTGTTGGCAAGGAATCTTCATCACCTCTGTTTTCTCCATGTTCACCTGAAGGCCTATCTCCTCTGGATGCTTCTCCTGCCAACTTGTTGCTTTTCACTTGCATATATCTTCCAGTTTGTGGGAAATCAGACATATACCATCGGCGAAGTCTAGATCCTCCAAGTTTTTTGTGTGGGTCCATTTACGCCTGTCTTATCAGTGCCCACTGTTTGTTTGTCGCATCATCCAGTCAACTGGATATGTTATTATTGTTTAATAGTAACACAGATTTTATCGCAAATAACTGTCTTTTTGCTATCGTTTGGGCGACTTTGGGACTGTGTCGCTCAAGTCATATATATACCTTTCAGTCATATATATATATATATATATATATATATATATATATATACGACAACAGATCACAGGTTCCGATAATAAAAGATATATATATATACCTCAGCAATACCATTAGGCAGGTATACAAACCCAGTACTTTCTCAGTTGTAAAACATATATATATATATATATATTTAGTAGAACGCAAAGATTAGTTTCCAGCCTTCAAATCATAACACGTTGGTTTTTGGGTCACTGCATAGCCTACGGTCACGTCAGAGTTTACCACATTCAACAAATCATGAGGTAAAACTTTATCAATAAATCACATCCACTTACCACACCAGATATCCTTAGGTCCATAGGTAATTTATTATCGACTATTAGCTCAATGTATCCAGGTTCTTCACAAACCCAATCAACAGCTAAGAAATAAATTTCGAAAAAATGGAAGTTAATGATATACTAGAGTAGTTGAAAACGTATTTCTGTGGTGTGGCAGGAAAACATGAATAAGTGTCAGCGGCTTTGGGACTCTTTGTGAGTTTCAGGTTTACATTTTCACAGCGTCTTCTTGAAACTGAATCGATGTAGTCCATGGAATTTCTCTGCTCTATTTGAACTTACAGAAGACGAGCAGAGAAATTTCATGGACTACATCGATTCAATTTCAAGAAGACTTTGTGAAGACGTAGACCTGAAACTCGTAAATAGTCTCAAGGCCGCTGACACTTAATTCACGTTTCCCTGCCACAGTAGAGAAAAAAAATGGAAAAAGCAAAAATGACTAATCACATTTACACCATGCATTGAATTAGTCAAGCATTTACCGATAAGTTACAAATAAACCAAGCCACCCCCCTCTCCGCCCACCTACCTTTACATACACAACAACAAACGCCTTAGAATGAAGACAACGATTAATGATCAGAGAATCTTTACGATAACTCAGCTTTCAATAGTTGTGGTTCAGATGTATGTCATCTTTATGCGTGACGATAGATAATCCACCGAGGGGGGGAGTTTCACTGAAATATTGAATCCATGAATAAAATACCGGAAGCTGCAGTAACTATGATATTCTGCAGAAATTACAACCCATTTTCTTACGATATATATAAAAGCTGCCACTACTCAAGTGAACCACTACATTTTATGTACTAGTCAGTTGCATAGCCTGAATGAACTTAGGACAGAATAAGAATGACCACCAACCACCAGTGAAATATCGTTAAAAAAAACAAGTTGTGAGAATTCCAGACGTCTAGATCAAATTATTATTAAAATGATTGATTAGATATTATTAAACTAAGCTAGATCTTTTCACAATTTTTTTTTTAAAATTTACGTCTGTCAAGTTACAAAAATATTTAGGCGTATTTTAAGTAACTTTCTTAACCACATGTTATTGTCTAAAGGTGAACGAGAGAAAACACACTGCTAATGCGATTGAAAACAATGCGTAGGATTCAAACCATTGAACTGGAAATTGGAATGTGTAAGTCTAAAGAACAAATTTACCTAGTGACTACAGATTACAGATATGTATATGCAAATAAGACAGTTCAGAGTAGAACGGAAACTGTTAATAGAAAGGTATACAAGTGGTAAAATGATAACCTTCTCATATTCTCCTAATTCAGTGGTGCCAAGGTTCCAAGGGTGAAGACCTAGCTGAACAGTAGTAGTTTGATGATGGACGGACAGATAGCATAACATTCACTTACTGCCTGGTTGTGGTTCCTCGGGATGTTAAGAACCAATTGCTGGAGACAATTGGTGATTTGGCTAAAATTTGTTCTCAATGGCACAGATGCATTCACTCTCTGTGATCTGTCATATTCAATAAAACACTGTTGCTTTTCCATATTACTATTATTTCTCCATTATATTTCTGCTTAGTATCACCCTTTCGACTCTTTTTTTTCCCTTTGTGTGTTACATAGATTGTGGTGACTTGAACTTTTGCACTTCTTTGAGAACTTCTATGTTGAAACTCAGTCAGTCATTCACATTAAAGCTGCAGACAATGTCTGCAGCGATTGACGGGTGCTTACAATTGGACTAGTGAACATGCAGGTCTATCTAGGGGAAGTCAATAGCCCTGATTCCAAATCCATGGCGATACATGGGTTCCAAAATCCAAATCAGCAGGGATACAGAGGGTTAGTTTCGCATATGCCAGTTTACGCCGTCTCTGGCGTAGACGTGATATCCGACTATCGACCAAATCGCGTGTGTACTGCTCAGCAGTCCGCTCCGTCCTCCTTTATGGCTGTGAGACCTGGCCATTGAGAGTGGAAGACATGAAAAAGCTGGCTAGCTGTCTTTGATCATAGGTGCCTGTGTTCTATCTCCCGTGTGAAACAGTATAATAGGGTAAGCAATATTGAGGTTAGACGTCAAGTGCTAGGTAAGAAGGGAAAATCAATAGACGAGGTTGTGAAGTTACATCGATTGAGATGGTTTGGACATGTGTTAAGTATGCCTAGTCATCGCCTTCCTCGACGGGCAATGTTTGCCGATATAGGGCCAGGCTGAAAAAGAGCCAGCGGTGGTCAAACCAAAACATGGCACCAGTCAATGAAATCTACAACAGTTAGTCTAAGCCAAGTAGGAAGATGTAGACTTCGTGGTTGGGGTCCTCGGGACGGTAAAAACCAATGGTTGGAAACAATTGGTGACATGGCTCAAAATCGTTCTCAATGGCTGGCGCAGATGCATCCACTCCTTGTGACTTGTGATTTCCAATGAAACTGTTTTGTTCTTCGTTATTACTATTCCTTTGTCTCACACCTCTGTCTACTGACTATATTATGCATTTCTCCTACTTTCTTCTCTTGCTTTGTGTGCTACATGGAGGGAGTGTGGCGACTTCAACTGCCTCACAAATGTGCAAAGTTCTATGTCGAAAACCGACAGACAGACAGAAAATCCAAACGGATCGGAAGGTGTATGAACCTGCTTTGCTCAATGGTAACCATGGGAATGCAGCTCCTGACACTGCTTCTACTGCCTTGTGGATTCGACTTCAAGTCAATGACTCCGGCTGGCAACTTAAGACAACTGTCTACTTCTGTCTGGATGTCTGGACAGTACACCAGTCCTCGCACAAAGCATGAGATTTTGTATGGCATATCTCTTCATGCCCATATCATAACAAGTTTATTTTTTAGTAAATATTTTCTGTGGTAATTGCGACTAAAATGATAACCTCTTCAGAAGTTAGATTTCGAAACTCAGTTGGCGAAGAGTCAGACAAGGAATTCATAGGCCACCGGATTAAATCCTGCCGTAACCCACACATCAGTCTTTACAGTTTACTTTTAACCAGTAAAAGTTATTGAAAAAGAAACAGGACAAACTGACTCAAAATAAGCCTACAAACTGAGAGACAATAAATCTTAGACGTAAAGTTCACAGAATGATATACACGAAACGAATTGATTACAATTGTATTATCTGAAGGATACTAAATACAGTTTGCCCCCCCCCCCAAAAAAATGAGCAAATCCATCTGTATCCATAGACAATTTTGTTGTACTTTTTTTATACAAAAAAATATATTTCAACATGAAAGATATGCAACTAACATACTTGAATTTTTTGAATTAGTTTGACTGTCAGTTTGAAAAGGATTATAAACAAATGGACCAGAAGGTTTTGTAAATTCTGCTGAATATGCTGTATCAGATTGTTTAGATTGGCTTCGATCAGCACGAATAACAACTACACGACTTTTACTTAGCGGTACTACACTTTCTGCTGCATTTTTAGAAATTGAATGAGGTATCAAATGACTTGGTAATGGAGGTATAATAATTGATCTGAAATGAATAAAGATTAAGATTTATAGGGTCAATGATTTTCATATTTAGTCAGCAAGTTTACTGGCATACAAAGTAACTCAAGCAAGTTCACTTAGAATTAACTCAGTAAGGGAGAGTGAAAGTTACTGCGAGGAGGAGCGCCTGGAGAGGCGATGACCCAACGACTGGAACGAATGTTTCTGAGGGTCATGTCATGTCAGAAAGGTCGTTAGAAAATGGTTAGACTGAAAGGAATGACCAGCGTAGTGTAAGTTACTCGCCTTGTTTTGGAGGCCTTAGAAAGAAGGCATACTGCTGGCAAATAGGGATATAATAGCAGTAAGTTACTTCCCACAGATGACCAGTAAGTCATCAAAGCTGCCTCTTCACTTTGGAGGCGGAGAGTTAGAAACAGTCAACACAGACTTACCTTGCGGTGATCCGTAGCCGGTTTTATAATGCAGTAAAGATATTTAGGGCAATGATGATTATCTGAACGACTACAGATGCCCTATTCCCAGAAGAATTCTGTAGATGTTAATTCAACTATATACTTTCGTCGTACATGGACAACTTGCTTAATTTAGTAACTTTTCATAGGCAACTTTCACACTTTGTGAAAATTCAGTCTGTTCTTTCTTCACACCTGATCACCAAGGAGGAGACGCAAATAAAACAATGGGCTGATCACTTTAAAGGACTCTTGAATCGACCACCACCGGTAACTCGCCCAGAAATACCACCACTAACAACAACAACACACACAGAAATGCCATTGGACACCACTTCTCCAACGAAAGCAGAAATCCTGAATGCGATCAAGCTACTGAAGTCCGGGAAGGTAGCTGAACCAGACGGCATTCCTCCCGAAGCACTGAAGACGACCCCAGAGATTACGGCAGATGTTCTCACTTCATTACTGCAAACCGTTTGGGAAGAATGAAAGGCGCCTAATGACTGGGAGAACGGCTACCTTGTCAAACTGCCAAAGAAGGGCGACTTAGGCCTGTGCAAGAACTGGTGTGGAATAATGCTCTTGTCCACGCCAAGTAAAATACTAACTCACGTCATTCTGGAGAGACTAAAGGATGCATTGGGTGGAGAATTCCGCCACCCACCGGAAAATCCTGGATTCAGGGAAGGTAAACCATTTTCTGGTGAAATTGCAACTCTACGCATCTTCATCACAGAAAAAAGCATACAATGGCAGACAAACCTGTCTCTACCTCAACTTCATAGACTTCGAAAAGGCCTGCAACAGTGCAACCCGAGAAGTAATTTGGAAACTACTTGAACACTACGGCGTACCTCAAGTCTTTGTCAACCTCATTCAACAGCTACATGACAATGCCACATGTCAAGTGATCCACAACGGAAAACTCAGCGAGGCGTTCGAAGTGCATGCAGAGACGATCGCTGAACAAATATGTAGGAAAAAATGGAGATGGATCAGGCATACATTGAGGAGTCTGCCGAATGACATCTGACGCCAGGCCCTCGAGTGTAATCCCAATAGGAAGCAACGGGCGAGTAGGTCGTCGGTACGAAGGTGACATGGAGGAAATCGTGTGAGGAAGAGATGAGAGTTTGGTCAATCGTGGAGCCTGCTGAAGAGGACGGCAGGAAACAGAACAAAGTAAAGATGTGTTGCTGAAGCCCTATGTTCCACTAGAAACGCAAGGGAATAATAAATAAATAATAATGAACATACAATGGTACTAAATCTATATTAAGAAGAATAACTTTGAAAAAATAAAACAGCATAATTCTTACCGAACTAGTGGTAGTTGATGCACTGGTATTTCAACCAAGTCCAACATTTGTCTTTCATTAGCTTTGGTATGAATTCCTTCATTATTCCCATTCGAATAATAACAATAATAACCATTTGAGTATATTACTCGATGACTTCGTGGCCATCGCCTAGAACGTCCACTACTCGACTGATAATTCAGTATAGTCATACTAGGTGCATTAACCGGTTGGTCAGGACAACGAAGTACAGCTAAACGGCATAAATCATCCATGCATGATATACAACTGGCTTCATCTGTATATTCAGGCCAACTATCAAGTACGGAGAAACAATACCTATAAATGAATGAAAATATAGAATATTCAAACGGTTAGATGTTAATATTTTTTATAAGTAGTATATATAATATCACCTACCAAAAGCCACACAAAACATTGAATCAAATGCTATAAGGTAAACGTAAGATTATTTATAAAAAGTTGTTTTAAACAACATTTAATGTAACCATGTTACTAGATTGTATATATCAAACTATGAGCCACACCTATTTTACCAGGATCAATAGGACAAATTGATTTTCCTGATCCTGAATTAGAGAGACTGAACATATAAGCCATTTATTCAGTAAGACAGAGGCGTTTTTCAACTAGTGATCAAATACTAAGCGATAATAAACAACAAGGCATAAGTAACACGGTAAAACAAGCTTTATGAAAAGGTTATTATTACTGATCAATTTAAAAGCCACATAGACTGCTTCTTATGTACATATGTAAAATACTGATAAGAACTTGTACGACTAACTTGGGTCCCAGTGGTTTAATGGTATACAAGCTCGCCTTGTAACCTGAAGGCCCTGGGGTTCGAATCCCGGTGGGTGCGTACTACTGAAGAGTCCCAAACTAGGACGAAGCATCTGGCCAGTACTCCCAGGTTTATGTGCGTCGGTGGCACAGTGGTTGGGATGCTAGCCGACCGTGCACATGGTCCGGGGTTCGATCCCTGGCCGACTCACTCCTTTACCTCGCTAAGCCAGAACTAAAAGCTGGTGAAAAGGGAAGGTTGGGCATGGGGCTAGCAACCTCATCCTGTAAAAGTGAACACTGCTAAAGAAACTTCAAGCCTTTAGCTTGGAGCCGTATGTTCCACTGGGAACGTGAAGAAATAAAAAACAAAAAAACGGCTAGCTGACTGACTGGTTTCAACGTGGAACCTTGCACAGATGTGCAGCAGTTCGAGTTTGTCATGCTCCATGTAACACACAGGAAGAGAAAAGAGATTCGAAAGGACGATAATAAACAGAAATGTGGTGGATAAAGAATAGTAACATGGAAAAATAAGGTTTAATAGATATGGCAGATCATATGGCAGACTGAATACACCTGTGCCATTGAGAACAATTTTGAGCCACATCACTAAAGGTATCTAGTCATTAGTTCTTTTAGAATCCTGAAGACATCATCCAGGTAGTCAACACATCCCTATGTGGTTGGTTCAGGCAAACTGTCAAACATTTCATGGAAATGGAACTAACTTTTGATTTGACCACACACCTAACTCTTTTTTTAACCGAATCCTATGACAGCTAACATTGACCATCGAGGAAGGCAATGGTTAGGCATGCGTAATATATCTTCTAATTCCCTGAATTGATGTAGCTTCACAACGTCATCGGTTGATTTACCCTCCTTACTTAACACTTGACGCCTAACCTCAATACCAATCACGCTATTATACTATCTCATATGAGAGAGAGAACGCAGACACCTATGATCACAAAGACAGCTAACGTCTTCGGGTCTTCCACTTTCATTGGCCATGTCTTACAGCTATAAAGGAGGATGGAGCGAACTGGTGAGCAGCGCACACGCCCTTCGATCGGCAACCAACCAGCTATCACATCTAAGCCAGAGATGACATAAGTTGACAAATGTAACACCAGCTTTTTGAAAACCATACTGACATTTCGTTTGCGATCAGTCCATCGGGGTAGTAGTACTTCCCAAATAAGTGAACTAGTAAACAGGCTCTACCAATTCACTTCCTATCTTTAAGCTAAGAGTCGTTGCAGTCCAGTCTTGTAGGATTATCTTACATTTGGTAAGAGCAAATGTCATGGTAAACATTTAAAGATTCCTGCCAACTGTGTTCAGAAGATTCACCATCTTGTCAGCGTCTTCATCTAGAAAGATTACATCATCTGCATATTCAAAGTCAACAAGATTGTTCTTTGGCAACAAGTCAGGGCTGATTCCATCAGTACCTCTATGATAAAGTTAAGCAGAAATGGGAGACAGTGGATATCTCTGACATACACCACTGGTTGTCATCATTTCAGATGACAACTCGCCATCAACTCTTACAAGGCTTTGTGAACTCTAGCATGAAACTTCCTCGCTATTCCTTTCACAACCAAACACATTGCCAAAGAAAATATTTAGTTCAACTCAAATTAAGCACTAAGTTGGTCTAGTATAATGATGTAGCACTAATATGCACTAATATACATCGCCGCCACTACCCAAAGTTTATTGCACATATGTCTGTCGCTTAAAAGAAATATGCAGTCAAAATGATTCGATTAAAACAACTTAAAACCAATTACTCACTCATCTCTTATATAAAAGAAATATATCGTTATACCTATAACTAACAAGACATCTTTCTTTTTTGCAAATTCATAACTATTTCTCCTTAAAATGCCGTCAACATCAAAATACTACTGACAATTAATAACAGCAGTAATTAATCAGTGTATGCCATGTCAAGCATACATACATTTTTCTCTCCTCTAAAATGTATATCTGCTTTGATGATATTAGATAGATAGTTGGAGGTAATCTGCTTTTCAATGTGCAATCGAATTAATTTCTTGACAGTCTTTTATAATAATAATAGAAGGCCATACATATACATATATATCTACTTTTTCACCATTATCATTTAAGTAGCTCACATTAACTTAGGAATTCACTACACGTTCCGGATGAAGAATTATAAACCGTCGTTTCAACTAATAATAATAATAATAATGACACAAACAACCTTGACTACAGAAAATGTGACTTTGTGATACCTTTGATAGAATTTGCCTAGGCTGGATGGAACAGCTTGACCAAAGAGTATGAATGCCTTTATTGCTATGTTTCCTGTATACAGATAATTCACGTGATAACTTTTTATTGTCCCTATTGTTGTAAGCAGTGTTCACTTAGAATCACCATTGGATCATAATCAGTATTTTAATGCTTGTTATTACAAGTACTGTAAGTGTATTGCTTTACTAAACAACAACAACGACTGAGAAGTAATCACAGTTGGAAAATACGCCCAACTACACCGTTCAGGCCACCACAATAAAGAATTTCACGAGCTGACAATATATTCTAATCTAGAAACTAGTAACTTTGAAAGCCGTGGTAAACAATAATTTGAAATTCATCAAAAAGTCCATGCGGCGTTATATATCCCAACTCATTGGTCTTTTTTTCCTTCACGTTCCCAGTGGATCATAGGGTTTCAAACTAGAGGCTTGAAGTTTCTGTAGCAGTGTTTACTTTTACAAGATGAGGCTACTAGTCTCATGCCCAACCTTTCCCCTTTACCAGCTTTATTTCTGGCTTAGCAAGGTAAAAGAGTGAGCCGACCGGGGATCGAACCGCGAACCATGTGCATGGTCCGCGAGTGTCCTAACCACTGTGCCACCGACGCACTGGTGTTTCCGCCCAGGCGGTCTAGGGACTCGAATTCCAACCAATGGGGTTAAGGGTTTGCAGTCCTCTCCACCTGACGAGGTTTGAGCAGCTAGGTAGTATCGCCAGACCTCACACAACAAGGTATGGTTCATTGCCATCTGTATGTAATGTCTACATGTTGGTATCATAATGTGTATTAACCATCCAGGCATAAATTTTACTATAATAATGCAACTTTAGAGCACTATTCCACATAAGTGACAAGCTAACACTCTTAAGTCGAGGTTGTTGGAGATAATCAAGAATCCTGTGCAAAGAGAAAGCTGGATGACTGAATCTGTGACATTGACAACGTTTAATATACTCCTCGTTAAATAACTGCTTATGCATATTGTCAAAGATCTGGGAAATATAACTCATATGGGAGCAGAATGATACCTCCTAACTTTTATTACAAGGATATTTCTTGCTTGCATTCTCAGTAACAATTCTAAAAATATGCATGTGAAAACAGTGGTCATACGAACTTTTAACATGATCTATATTTAGCCTTGAATGGAAGTCAATCCAGTATTCAACGTTAATTCCACATTCAACTAATTTCCTTAAATACTTATTGTGATAGCACATCACACCATGTTAGCTTCTACTGCTTTGTTTTAAATAAGAAACAAAAGACTTTTGCGAGCATCACACTTAGGTGAAACTAACAAAATTATATTATTCATAGCGAAATCAAATAAGTTCAGTTTCATACTGAAGTTTGCGTTGAAGATGTTCTCTAGGAAGACAACGAAAGCTTAGCAATTAAAGTCCTCACTTCGGCGAATACAATCATCTCCATTTGAGTTACAAATCTCCTCAATTATTTCATCATTTTAAGTTTCCACATCATCTTCTGTTCATCTTTACTGTTCTCGAAGACTCCCATAAAATACTGTAAAATTCAATACTGTTTAGAATGCTTTCATAAAGCAAAGATGGTACCGAGTTTCCTCGACACTAGCAACTTCACTAGATTGTAATCAGGTAATTAGGTCAATTTTCCATAAATATTAAAAACGTTCAACCTTTACAATTTTTTTACCCTCAGTAATCCTGTCTCACAATATGAAACAAACTATTTAACAATACACACACATCCATTAACCGGTTGCCAAATATCACGTGTATACCGAAGATAGTAAATATCACGCGGAGGTTCTATCAGAAATCAGTTCATCATGGCTGCTGAAACTCTTCAAATAAGTAGAATGGTTAACATATTCAACCACATCATTTCACAATGGTCCTGTAACAAAGCTTTACATTCGACTTATAAACAGTCGACGATTATCTCAGGTTCCAATATACTAGCTAATACCCCCCCTCCAACTGTTTATCTATCTAGTAATTCACCACCAGTATCTTCAAAACTCCCCTTGAGTCAATGCATCAATTCCTCGTGATTTGCATTTAGCATATTCCATGGCATTTAGCACAAGGAATAAGATCTGAATTTCCAACACTAATGTCAAGTCAGTGACTCTCAATATGGTTCAGAGAACTGGCACGTTATCATAAGCATTACCAACAGTTTGCTGAAGACTATCATCAACAGCTGTCTTATCTTCATACTGAAGATCAGACAGGTGGCCATAAAACACTGGAAACGAATTAACCGAGAACCTATCAGCCAACAAATATATATGCAGGAGAAAATGGAGATGGATTAAGCGTACACTGAGGAGATGGTTGAGTGGCGTCGCACACACACACACTAGGCAAACCTTTTAAAGGAACCCAAACAGGAAACAACGAAGAGTTGAATGTGGATCCGAGGGTGACTTGGAGGAGATCATGTGAGAATGAAATAAAAGCGTGTAAGCAATTATAAAGCCAACTAAACAACAATAAAAAAGACTGCAGAGGACAGGATGAAGCAGAGATGTACGGCTGTTGCAGCGATAAGTTCCAATCAAGGGACTCAGAGGAGTAGTAATAATAATAATACTCAAAATTTCACATACCCAATAAGCTTCAATCCATTATCCCATGAAATTTCTGAAGTATCCTCTAAATTAATATTTGTTTTATACTGATTTATAAAATAATGCATTACACTTAATTGTAATTCACACCAACCAACTGAACGAAATTGTATTGATGATTTTGATGCATATAAATTATTCAAATGAGAATTTACAGTTGAACTAAGATAACGTGTAATATAATGCAATGACTTAAATTTATTGATTACACCAGTTAATGATGATGATATTGTTGCTGTTGCATTCAATCCAGCGCCTGTATGCATTATTGTTCCTGGTGTTGTATTCGATGTGGTTGTGGTTGTCGTTGTTATACGCGTTGGACTATTCACCTGATTCAATACAATCAGTGGACTCCATAATGGTGGATTAGTAATTAATCGACAGATAGCACTAGATGGACGTCGATTTTCATTCGGTGAATAAATTAATTCTTTATTGGTGTTATTATTATTATGATTATTATTATTATTCTGCTATTATCATTGCTGAGTAATTTTGTATCTGTCGGTGGTATTTGAGTAAAATTAGGTGAATAAGGTGATTGAATTTTTAAACCAGTCAGTAGGGTATCATGTTCAAAGTCGACAAGATTTAGATCATGCGGTCCAGTTAAAAGCCAAAGAGCTAAACTGGCCTTACGATTAAAATTCATTGCTTTATACAAATGTACAATAGTTAGATAACGTTTAACTGAACATGGATCCTATAAGGGGCAAAAACAGGAAAAAAGAAAATAAAAAATAACATTTCATTATTAATTTGTAGTAAATTTAAGTTTTTACGAGTTGATCACGGATTGATATCAGTTAGAGAACGATTGAAAACCAGGGAGTACTGGACAGCTGCTGTTTCATCCTAGTTCGGGAATCATCGGTAGTACGCACCCACTGCTAGGGGTCGAACCCAGGACCTCCCGGTTACAAGGCAAGCTCGTATACCATTCAGCCACTGGGACCCGATTCAGTGGCTCATGAATTTTAGCTTCTACCAATTCGTGATTTAGCTGCAGGATGGAGTTTCCTAGAGTTCTAGTGAGAAGTCGTGACCAGTGAGGTTCATCCGAATGTCACTTATGAGGATGCATGTCCCACCGACGACAGTGGTTGGGGTCGCGCTAAATCACGAACTGGTAGAAGTTAGAATTCATAGGCTGGCCATTGAATCGGGTTCCAGTGGCTGAATGGTAAATCAGCTTGACTAGTAACCGGAAGGTTCTGGGTTCGAATCCTAGTGGGTGTGTACTGCCAATGATTCCCAAAATCTAGGATGAAACAGCTGTCCAGTACTCCCTGGCTTTCAATGGTTTTCTAACTGATATCAATCCGTGATCAACTCGTAAAAACAAAGCTAACCTTTACAAACCAAAGTATAGAAAATTTAAGTGGTATTTAAATAAATGGTTTATCTTATCTTGATTTATATTTCATACTCCTGTTTTGAGTTTTGTGGGGATTTTAATCAAATATCAATATAAATTTCGTCACAAGTCAAAACCGGTTGGAGAAAACCGGGGAAGTACAGGACGGCTTTTTCATCCTGGTTCGAGATTTCTTTTATAAGTAAACGCCCAAGACTCAATCAGGGGTCGGACTCAGGACCTTCACGTAATAAAGTCAACTTGTTGACTATTTCGCCACTGGGTTGGAATCCAATGAAGTGTGAACTTTAACTATCATCAAACAATACCATTGATGAGTATCTGCTCTGCCCTGAGACGATGCACCCAGCGAACCACATCCTCGTATTTGAACTGAAACCTGTCCTCGCCAAGCTGAGAACGTGTGGCGGCTCCACACATTCGGTCATCGCTGTCTTCGTAGGATTGCTGGCGTTTGTTGGCATCATCGTATGAGTAATTCTTAGATCCGGCAGCTGGTGTTTTGGACACATTGGAGATCACCATTCTTTGAGTATCGTCATATGCAAAACCCCGAATTCGGTGGTTTGGATGTGTGATACAAATGTCCCCCTACAGGCAGTTCGCTGTGGGGGGAGGTGGTCAGCCTATGACGTGGTGTAGTGGGATAAAGAATATTTGTGTTAGATTAGCACCAGCTGGCACATCACAGCTCCCTGGTTAAGGTTCAAGAGACGGTTTCAATTAGCAGCTTGAAACGTTATCAAATATGGAAAAGAATCGCAATCAATGGCAAACATGCTGCAATTTCTTTCTTTCTTCCCTTCTCGAAACTAATACGACAAATGTCGTTTACTCTTCTCAAATATACTTGCTTCCGTTCTAGATGAAGTCCTTTAAATCATTCTTCCCTTATTTTCGTTGTATATTGCTGTTTAATTATTATTAGTATTTGGCGCATTTTCTTCGTGCCCATATTATACCATATTGTGTTTTAAATAAATAATATAACAACAATAATAAATCTTATTGGAACTTCCTTCAGGGCATCCCTCCAGTAAGCCCTGATAAGCAGTAAATTGGTATTCTAATGTATTTTTATTATATTATACCATATAAATTCTGCATAAATCATTCTACAACTTAATGTTAAGTAGTATTTTCAATCATCGAAGAATTCATACCTCGCCTGTAGCCTGAATGCGTGCTATTCACTAATTTAATTTAAGTAGTACGCGCAAGTCCTTTACACAACAAATAAATTTTTCATTTAAAAATAGATTTAGCATAGAATGGGAGTAAAATAAATTTGTACACTTGATCAAACAGTTGATCAAAGTATACCACATAATCCCCTGTATCGTTATTATTCTCTTGGGTTCCAAATAGAACATAGGGCTTCACAAAAAGCGAATACATCTCCATTCATTCCATCCTGTCCTCAGTACAGTACATATTAGGTGGCTGGATCCACAACTGCCTTGTTATTTGAAACCATACAGACTCAATTCTGAATTATCAAATATATTGTGAAAAAATAGATGAGGGAAAGTTTCTCCTTACTTAAAATTTATCAAATGTAAGGAGATTTCATACACAAACTGCATTTAGAATGGAAATAAAATTGTTTGATATTAGTTACAGGATTTCATTATGAGCTCATATTGGTTAGAGAACCAATGGAAAACTTGGGAGTACTGGGCAGATGTTTCGTCCTAGTTTGGGTCTCTTCATCAGTATGCATCCACCCAGGACCTTCTGGTTACAAGGTGAGCGCAATCTATGTTCATATTATATCACCGTTTTGTCTCAACTTAATGTACTACTGATTCGTTTAAGTTCAATGATCCGGATTTGAACTACACTTATTGTGTGAGGGTGATTGGTACGACCTATTTAGTTGTTCGGGCTGAAGCAGGTGGAACTGGACTCAAACCCCTAATCCACTGACTGGGAACCAAGTACCTAAGCCAATGAATGAGCTACATACCCGCTCACATGCTACTTCAAAAGATAGTGTTCACTAATAACAATAGGCATAAACACATGAAGTATACAGATTGTTTTGTTTAGTATTAACTAACATATTGATCATGGCAAAATTAGTTCAGTTTTTGTTTTCCACTTCTAGTGTTGAACTAGTCCAATTTATCTTTGTTTTATCATCAGGCTAATTGATATCTCATCAACACTTTACACTTCATACAAGATCTCTATATGCGGAAAAAGTGCTGATATAGCCTACATACACAATGATCTAACACTGACATCTATACACGTAGCATTTAAAGAAACATCAAACAATTTTTATCCTTTTTTGAAGCCAAATCCTTCGATTATCACATTTACAGAGTGATAGAATTTGCAATTGATGGGCAATTGAATTCCATCTCACTAACTGAATTGGTCTACCAACTCGCTATGTAACCGTAACCGGAAAGCCCTAGAGTCAAACTCTGGTGGGTGCATACTGTTGAAGAGTTGCAAACTAAAACGAAACAATTGTCCAGTACTCCTTTGATTTCCATTGGTTCTCTAACTGATATCAATCCGTGATCAAACCTGGGACCAATTAAATCCCTATAGATCAACAATTGAGAATATAAAAAAATGAAAATTTCAATAATTTCAATTACAATGTGAATAGCAGATTAGTCTTATATTTATTGATATCAACTTACCTCTGGACAAAATCTGGAAAGAGATGATGTGATCAATGAATCAAGAATTTCACAGGCTTTACGTTTTTGCTTGATAAAAAAAATGAAAAAAAGAGAAAAAATGAATGGATAGGTAGACAGACGACAGACAAACAGATGAAGACAACAAAAAAGAGAATGTGCTCTCAGCAATAGCTTGTTTTTTTTTCTTTACGAAACTCAGAAGAAGGAGAAAACAGAAGAAAAAAACCGCAACCATCACATGATATAAATCAATTCATCGATTAATTTAAGTATACAGATCACTTTCTTATTGTAAATGTGGAAACGTGTTATTGGTATCATCTTCTTCAAAAAAAAGAAGATTATAATTAGTTTCAATCCACGTTTGTGAATTAATTCAACGAACTTAATGATAAAAGTGTGCTTTGTCATACAAGTAGTTAGGTGGCATATGTGAGAGCAAATAGAACACTGGTACATCCAGCTCACGAGTCCCAAATAGGACGATATACATATCCTAGTAGATTCCACTGCTATTCACCATCTACCAATTAAATACTAATTAAATGCCCGGACATCGTCGAAGTACCTACTCAAGAAGCCAACATGTCAACATGAGACCGAGCAATTCGGTCCAATCAATCGACGGGAAAATCTACAGTTTAATTAAATCAATATGACCCGTTGCACAAGAGGTTGTGGCTCTCGTGGCTCAAGTGGTCTAGTGGATGACGCTTTGGCGTTTGAAACTATGGGCACTGGATTCGAGCCTCAGCGGGAACACCGTCACTCACTGAAGAACACAGGCACATCCAACCGACGAATTTCAAATAGGACGAAGTGAGCATCCTGGATTCCACTGTTTGTCACCACTATCCACCGAACTACGTCATATTATTTTTTTCGATTTATGCTAGATGGTCAGAGGCAATCGGTAGGAAGCCTTGCTTGACCTAGGTTTCATGCTAGTTGGCACTTCACCAGTGAGCAAGGTTTATCTGCATCCTTGAAAGAACTCATGTCCCTTCTGAGATTCGAATCCGCGTCACCACTGAGCTATTCGGACTCGCGATGTACCTCTTTTAGGACTGTATTGGATACTTTGATTGGACACTAGTAACTAGTATGATGTGTCTAGTCCTTTGTTTGGTGCAGACTGAATTCTATCAGTCAGATTCGCAATTCGATTTAACATATCACATAGTGATACAGTACTCTTTAACAGAGTGTGGAGCTGTGGTTCATCGGTGGTCTAGGTGCCTGGCCTTCTAACCAGTGGCTGAAGGGTGAGAACCGCGCTCCACTCCACAGATCGAGGTTTGGCCAGCCCTGGGTAGAATAACCACCTCTCACACAATAAATAATGCCTCATTACCAACTGGATAGAATTGCAAGTGAAAGTTGAGTAATTTTAATAGATAATTAACTGTGTATAAACATGTTAATGTAATCAGATCACTATTAACACGGTATAATACTGCTAGCTTGTTTATTCCCCTGGAATGCCTGAGACATGCTACTTCGAACAAATTCAATATTGAGTAGTAGCAAATGAGTTAAAAAACAAAAGAGCTTACTCTACACAGATTAAAAGAATCTACGATGAAAAGGTATTGACCCAATAAAATATTCTTTTTTACTGATGAATGATGAGAAGCCGTGTATGAACTTAACTCACTAACCGTTAATGCGAATCCACAAATTATGTGTAAGGGATACATGTTCTTTAAACATCTGGATCTATATGAAGATGCTATATACAGGGACTTGATTATCGTATTATACATAAACCTATTGTATGTGGGCTAGTTATACTACCAAGGGCTGCTCAACTATACATGGAGCAGAGCTTGAACCCTTGACCCATTGGTTGAAAGTTGAGCGCCAAGACTAATGAGTCACACCTCCACCTTAAACTATATACTAATTGAGACAAGGAGTAAGTATTTTAAAACAGACACAACTTTGGGTCTAATGCATATTTTATATTACCAAACGCAGTATTATACTGTGATGACAGCTGTCTGCTAGCCGAAACTGTAGACAACAATTGACGTCAATGTTTACGTCCCAAATCAGGGTCATGAGAAAAACGATAACAAAGCTTAACCTTGAAGAACTCAACAACCAATCACAGAAGACTTAACGTGTGCAAATACGATTCGCAGATATATGGCCTGACTTTCTAAGAAACGGCCACAAGAAGATGACAGAATAACCTTCAGCAAGAAAACAACCAATCAGAAGACGTTGCTTCTCTGCTAACAATAACGCTAATAATAATGTACATAAAAATCTATAGATATCTGTTGACTTTCTCCATAAACAATCTGTTGTCTGGCCTTTGTCTTCTGTCGTTACAATACTATTTCACCCTAAGGTTTAGAGATTCAGTCACTAATCTGTACAGTGTATCATAATATCAAACATACTTATTCACATTCAATTTAAATTAAATATAAATGAATAACGTAATTAATTAAAATCATGAACTATAAGACTTAAATACAAAACTTACCGATTCAGTGATAAGTAAACGAATCACCTTAAACTTGAACTCTTCAAAAAGATAAGGATTTAATTCAACCTAAAATAATAATATAAGAAGAAATGCTTAAGATAAAACATGAACATGTAAATGAGCACGTTTGGAGGTTATTTAAAAAAAAAATTTTAAAACAAAAAGAAATTTCGTTGATAATTAACGAAGATACATTCTAATCATGAACAAGTAGCAGAAGAAAGAGAGAGAGTGATCACCATACCAACAGTGCTGTCCTCTCATTCTGTGAAGAAGGATTCGGCAAAGAATGAAAGATTTCATCTCGTCGCCAGGCTTTCAATTGTAAATGGTTAGATGTTCTAAACACAGACTCGAAACTACTCTGTGTGACATATAACACATGGACGTTACTTGACTGCTCAGTCACAAAGCAGTACCTTCAAGGTTTCGAAAGGATATCAATTTCCTTATTAGAGGAAGCTGCAAAATGATGAATCTCTGATATATTTCCCTCCTAAAGATTCTGAATATCTGTTTGCTTCTTTACTTTTGTGAGTCCATATCGCGATAAATACTATGGTTTCAACAATTTTCTCAACTTCTCATCTCATCGCAACTACTAACTATGGCCAGCCAACAGAAGCCCATTTTTGCGTCTGTAAAACTAGATTTCTGTAGCAAACGGGTAATTGAATGTGCACTGGTTGACTGGGTCGCAGTCAGTGTCATGAAATATACCTCATTATTTTAAACAGTGCCGATAAGAATTAACAATCAAATACAAAATCTAGAAGAGCACTTGCAAATTATCATTCTAAAATGAAAATCTCTACTACTGCAGGATTCTTATCTATTTTTCTCATAAGGATGAATGTACAACTTTAAACAGAGAAGCTTTAGTTTCAGTTATGACACTTCAATACGGTACAGCAAAAAGGAAATAGCTAAACATTTTATGTCACGTATGGTCACATCCGATGAGTATCGGTGATTTAGTGGCTGAATACTCGCCAACCACACAGGTGGTAAGGGGTGTGATCCCCGGTCAACACACATCTAAGCCTCGCTAAGCCAATAGTGAGCCTGGCAAGGAGGAAAGGTTGGGCGTGAGACTAGCAACTCTACGCTGTGGAAAGAAACATCACTGCTATATGTCCCACTCAGAACACAAAAGGAATAAAAAGTATTTAAATGTTGTCAGTTACTGTACTTAAACTAAGACGGAAATGGATTTTATCAAATAATGAGAAGAAACTCAGCGTGATTAATGTCTACTATTAGAAATATAGAAAGCAGTCTGAATTACCAACCGACTTCAGTAGTTTGAGTAGTATAAACCAAAGAATAGAATGGATCAAAACTAGGTAATATTTGACTGCTATTTAGACTTTTTAAAGAAACTGACTAGAAGGAAGCGAATATTTGATGAAGCTGTCGCCAAGAAACACTAGTTAGATAGAATAATTAAACAAACAGTTCCACTGGTCACCTGTAGCGACACACCACTTACCTTTCCCAGTATCTAACAACTTGAATGAAATACGGCTGTAACAGTCTTACTGATGTGGTTAGTAACAAAAACTCGGTATGGATAAAAATAAAACCTACATGACTTTGTCACGGTGATATTGGAATACCCACCTAGCAAAAAGGTGAATTTATTGGCGAACCAGTTCGCTTAGTCATAGTATAAGTTTTGAAACATGACTGGCATTTGAAGGTAATACGCTTTCAATCATAAATTTTGCTAGGAATACTTGAATACACTAATATTATGGTTAATTCTGTTGAAATTAGACAACTGCAAAGAGGAAAGACTAAAATAAAACATAGGATACCTTTGTTAAGGTAGGTATGAGACGTGTTCTGTAAGCCTACGGGAGGCCTAAACCAAAAAGCACCCTAAAATATGAAGTCTCTGACAAATGATCTTATTTTTTTATTCATTTACGTCCCTAGTGGAATATAGGGCTTCAGGGTAGAGCTTTGAAGTTTCAGCAGCGGTGGTCTTTATTTTTTTGTGGTAAGGTTGCTAGTCGCACGTCCAACCTTCCCTTCTTACCGACCTTAGCGAGGTTTAGGAGTGTGTCGGTCGGGAATCGAACCTCGAACCACACATGTGATTGATGAGCACTCCACCGCTGAGCCACAGATTCTCCAACAGTACGCACCCACACTACGGGGTTCGAACCCAGAACCGACCAGTTACAGGCGTGCTCGTAGACCATTAAGCCACTGGGACCTGACAGTTGGTCTAAACTATGTAAATAAACGTAGGTTTTTTTAACCAAGGTAGTTTGCAAGTTATAAATCAGCTATCAGAAACATTGAGAAATACGGTGGATATGTATAAACTCTTAGAGCATCACACTCATAAAACATGTAACAGTAATATTAGTAGTGATAAGAAATACTCTCGCCAATGGCATTTTATACCTTATTATACAATTCCATTGTCTCCAAAGCATAATTACAGCAATCAGTGGATGATATGATAATAGGATGATGAGATTTCGATGATGCCAAATCTAGACTTGAAGATGTAGAATGTCCTACAGGATACAAAAGCAAAATATGGAATACAAAACAGAAAAAACAACTTGAAAATATTATATCACGTATAAATCAATGTAAAATTGTTCACAATATACACATCAGATGTACACATCAGAAAATGGGGATTGTACGGAAAATTGGGATTGTACAGATAGAAGTAAATTTTGCAGTAACCAACAAAACACGATATATGCACAGTGTCTTAGTTTCATTTTACAAGAGAAAGATTTCATGAAGTAAATAAGGAAAACATTTGTTGCCACCTTACTATATGAATAACTGTGCTCAAACCATCCATTAATGTACTTATTTGTGATATGGCTCGAAATCGTTCTCAGTGGTGCAGGTGCATTCACTCTATGTGATCTCTTACATCCACGAAGCCCTCATGTTTTACCATGTTATTATTCGTTCTCTCATACATTTCTGCTTTTACACATCCTTTGAATTTTTGGTATTAGATGGTTGGAGGCAATCAGCAGGAAGCCTTGTTGACCTAGGTTTCGTGCTAGTTGGCAATCACCAGTCAGCAAAGCGTATCTGCAACCTTGAAGGAACTCATGTCCCTTCCAAGATTCGAACCCGCGTCACCCAGTGCTGCAGTCAGAGACGTTACCACTGAGCTATTCAGGCTCGCGACTGACCTCCTGTAGGACTGTATTGCATATTTTTGATTGCACACTAGTCAGTAACTAGTGTAATGCGTCTAGTCCTATCTTCGCTGCAGACTGAATTCTATCAGTCAAGCTTGCAATGTGGCCACGATGCTAGGTGGCTCGCCATTACGGTGCACTGTGCCTTGCTAGGTCGAAGGCTTCCTGCCGATTGCCTCCAACCATCTAATACCAACAATTCACAGTGCACCGTAATGGCGAGCCACCTAGCATGGTGGCCATATTGCAAGCTTGACTGATAGAATTCAGTCTGCAACGAAGATAGGACTAGACACATTACACTAGTTACTGACTAGTGTGCAATCAAAAATATCCTTTGAATCTCTCGATTCCCCACCACCGTTTATCTACCTTGAGTGCTATATGTGATATGGCGACTTGAACTGGTGAACTTCTGTGCTAAGTTCTGTGTTAAAACTCAATCAGTCGTTTATGATGCACCTTGATGTTAAAGGAATGTCACTTCGTTTGACTAATTCCGTGTGCATTCATATGTTCACCTGTTCTTGTGGAGCTAGGTACATACTTTGTCGTGTTTAAGAGAAGCTTCCAGGTTAACTGAGCAAAGCAGAACATGGAGTCATTAATCTATCTAAATAAAAACATGTAGTAGGGGTGATGAACAGGCAGTCTCTAATGCCTTCTTCATAATATCGTCTACAAGATTCTACGAAATGTGCCAAGAGAATCGCAACTCCATTTGATTTGCGTAGTGAAGCTTTGGCAAATGAGAAAAAAAACAAAACTAAGACTTTATGTTTAATTCAAAAAGCATCACGTCTTCCTTATTCCATGTTGCTTCCCTTTATTATACCACTTAAAACCATAACATTTTAACATCTCAGTTTACAATATTTTCTTTATTAACAAAAGAGTTCATTCATCTTATTTTTCTACTGTGTTACATCATTCAGCCTAACAAATTCACACAATGACAACATCAGTAATAAACAGTATCGTTTTGTTTTTCATCCACTAGAACGATCGTGTTTAATCTTTCTAACAAAAAAGCAATTGTCCTATTATCCATTTACTCATATATATTGTACTTTATGTTGACCTTTCCTTTTTTCCGAATCTTATTTCTAATTAATTAGGAATTTATAATCATTTAAGCCATCAATACTAACACACTTCAAGTATTTCCACTAGCTGAAAGATTTGACATTCATGCACAACAATCCTACTAGTTATTTGTTATTCTAACTAATATAAATAAAGACTATTGTAAAGATATGAAAATTAAAAAGTTGACAGAAATAGAATCCCCTTCTGATGTGGTTAAGTTCTGCGAGTTTCGCAATTAAATCATCCAGTTTAGAGAACACAACCTCACTGACTGACTGATTGTTTCAACGTACAACTTTGTATAGAGGTGTAGCAGTTCGAGTTGCCACACTCCCTTCATGTACCACACAAAACAAGAAACGAGGTGAAGTCGATGCTCATACAAGGCACTGGTTGAGGGCAACGCTATATATCACATGGAGCTGACAAAGTTGGAATGCAAGAGTCATTGAATTCTGGCCCAAGACGAGTTTAGTCTCGTAACCTGAAGGTCCCAGGTTCAATCCTAAGTAGGGTCAAGTGTGAGCACTGCTTATGACTCACAAACTAGGACGGAACAGCTGTCCAGTGTTCCCTCGTTTTCAATAATCTCTCTAAGTGATGTTGCTGTTCATTACATAATCTAACAACTGCAATTAAATTAATCCGAATCCTGTAATCTAAATGTTAAAAAAAGAATTGAGTAGATTCCCTGTCAAAGTAGATTTTGAAGATTGAATGTTTATTGAAAACGAATATCCAACCAGAACGATTGCTTCATAAAAACCTTCACCAGAAATAAAACCGTATAATGTTTGTCAGTGTCGAGGGGAAGAAGTCTACCGATTCACAAGTTCCCACCGAACTCCCAATACAGGAGATAACTGTTCTGAAATTTTCAGTACAAACTACCACTGCTCAAGAAATAAAACTAAACATCCGCAATCTTCAATTATTAATTTATATCCTTGGGTCTTGAAATATAATTCCCGAACCTAAATGTCATGCATTTCTCGAAGGATACAAAGAGGAGAAATCATAAGGGATTGGGTTTACGCTTCGGATCAGACAGCTGTATTGTGTCATGCGATCGACCGTCAATTACTACTTTTTTTAAAGATCCTGAACAAAGAGAAATTATTATGCAATAAACCCAGCTATTATTATTTATTAATGAACAAAAATCTGCTCCTGTAGAAGTGTAAATGAGAAAATCGTACTACTCATCAACATACTAATGAACACATAAACACATACCTAACATATCTGATTCTTGTGAATGTGATTTCCTGAATCCGCCATTAGATAAATGTTCACCTAAAGGACGTTGATGCATAGATTTCGGTCGCATTGAACTAAGATTTGAGAAATGATCATGTCGACACATACCAACGGCACAAAGACCTTCAAGAGCACCTAAAAATGATAAAGATTATAAATAAAACTTCAGTTAAATTATTAAGAAAGAAGAGGTGCAAAATCCCTTTACACAGGTTAATACTGAGGAATTCTAGTTAAAAGCAAATCAAGTTTAACTATGCAAGACATAAGTTAACTTCAAATTAGAGCTTGCTCTGAAGATGTTTCCTAGGAAGACATTGAAAGCTTCGCAACTAAATCCACCTGAGCTACAAACCTTTCCTATTATTTCCCAGAGTGACTGACAGGCAATTGATTAGTAGACGATTGCTTATATTTAGTGAACATACGACACTCCTACGAAATGTTTTGTTACAAATTACATCACCAGATGAATTCATCTAACAAGCATAATGTTAACACATTTCCGTATGAATTTGTCTTTATTATAGGTAAGATACACTTCTCTTCTTTAAAAATACTAAATAAGTAAAATGCATTTTTATTTGTTTAGACAATTTTAACGTATTTTTGCATATGCCTACCAGCATAATATAAACAGGTCAGACGCTTCAAAGCTTTTACCATCAACAAGAAATAGACTGATGGGCTGACTGTTCTGTATGCTACCTTGAATATCATTATGTTGTTGTTTCGAAATGTAACAATTCTCACTGATAAATATTGCCGTTTTAGGTGGCACAATTTTAAACAAACACTTTTATTATTCTTCCTTTGATTGGAACATATCGCTTCAGAAATATATATCCATCTTATTCTTTTCTCTGCGACTGGCCACAAGGTTTCGATTGCTTTCCACAAGATCTCCTTCAAGTCACCCTTGAACCAATGATGACTAACTCGTCGTTTCCTATTCGAGTTCTGTTGGGGGGACTGGCATATGACATCGATTGAAAGTCTCCAAGTGTGTAGGATTGTATAATTATAACTTTACTTCCTCTCTGTCATAATCCTGAAAAAGACTGGTTCCCACTGCTTGAGAACTACTAATACTGTTGGTGATGTCATGATGGCCACTTACTCAGTGTACTGTGCCAGTGGTTGTTCTCTTGCAGATCAGAGTAGATTATCGACTAATTAACTACTTGGAGAGTTCATTTTCATTCCCCTCGCTCTCACAGATTCCTAACGCTTCCGTGCCGTCTCTTTTTTTCTGTTATTTGAGTAGCCTAACAGACTAGCCAAGAACATAATGTGGAAATTCTACGTACCTATGACTACTTTTGCTTTCATAGAAAGAGAACACCTCAACCGACTGGTTTTCAAAAGGCTTTCACCAGTGTGCACATCTGCCTCTGTTTCTGTATATAGGTCTCTTTGTTCAACAAGCTTGCTATGACATAGAGTGCTGGATTGGTTGCACTCTTACTTTTCTGATAGGAGGCAATACTCTGTTCACAATAGGAAGTTTTCCACTGCATTACTTACTTTAGCTGGTGTTCCTCACTCAAGGTGCTATTCTTTCTCCTTTGCTTTTTTCATTATTTTGACACGACTTTAGCAATTTCGAAAAAGCCGATTTTCTTACGTATGCCGATAATCTGCGTCGGTGGCACAGCGGTAGAATGCTCGCCGGTCACGCCTCATGTGGTTCCGGGTTCGACCCCCAACGCATTTCTTTAGCTCGCTAAGCCAGTAATAAGACTGGTATAGGGGGAAGGTTGGGCATGAGGCTAACAACCTCATCCCATAAAAATAAACACCATTGCTACCGAAACTTCAAGTCTCTAGCTTGAAGCCCTATGTTCCACTGGGAACGTAAAGGAATAAAGAAAAATGCCGATAATCTGACTGTTTCTATGCCTGTTACTTCTCAGTCAGATTGTTCCAAAATGGATAACTTTTTATTAGAAATTGATTGGTGCTTCTTGTCATTTGGTCTTAAGCTAAATCTCTCCGAATGTCAGGCTGTTAATTTCACTTTCAGACTCACGGCGACTTACATGAACTGGTTAGTTCGCATGGTTCTTTTATCAGAGATGGCACAAAAATTGAAACTAAATCAAATTTTAAATACTATGGGACTGTGCATTTCTTCTGATCACTATTCCTGATCTTCACACGTCATATTGGTGTCTTGAAAGATATTTCGTTTAACGATCTAAGATAGTCTGGTATCACTCAGTCTCTACTTTTACAATTTGTCCATTTTTGTATTCTACTTATTCTTCTTTATTGCTCCCAACCGTTCATTCTTTCATGGGTTACTTAATAATGACTTTGTCACACACTGCGAAGGGCACTAGGAGCTGCGAGTATGGCGAGTGGGGTGCTGCTAAAGCAACTCGTTAATACTGTTGTAGATAGACACATGGACTCATGAAAGAAATTAGCAAGAAATTATCTTATCATACGCTCGGCATCCTCTCCACATACCATTCTCTCCTTGCGTCTCATCAGATAGAACTAGAAGCAACTATACAAGACTATATGCTCGGACGACTAAGTATAAAAACTCTACAATAACTTATTCAGCCCACATTTTATGTGAAGAGAAAAGTGTAAGCCAGGACGTTACTAAAACATACGAGAAAAAACTATAGCCTAAAAAAGATTAACAAGTGACTGACTTACCAGCAAGCCATAAATTATCACCAATCGGTTTCAAATGTTCAATAGCGATATTATACTGAACTTGTGCCATTTCTGTATCACCTAGTTGTAAAAATATATCACCCAAATACTTTTTCAGTCGTCCAGTTGCTCTTTTCTGTTTAATAAATCTGAATATAAAAAAAGGGAAAATCATTCGTCTAGGATATATGCAATACTAATGAAGGAAATATGTATATATATATATATATATATATATATATATATATATATATATATTGCATACACAAATGTTATTGGTAAAAATGACATGAATTGACAGATGGGAAGGAGCAAACGTCAAGTATGTAACACGATCCATAGTTGAACATTAACACCAAAAAAATAAAGTTATACGGGGGAAAAAGATGGGAAGCAGTAGGACATGCAATAATATGTAACAGCATTTTTGGAAGCTGATCAGTACAAACACGGCAGACAGGATTAATGTAATTCAACTTTTGAAAGCTCGATATGAGTAAAATTTAGGGAAAAAAATCAGAAGCAATGGGGTAAAGGACTTTTCACTAAAAGAAAAACAATTATTTTTAACACAAAGTGTTAGTTTACGTGAATGAAGATGTTTAAGTTGAGGAGCATAACACAGATGTTCATTTTCACAAATTTCTATCGCATCCAAATACTGATGAAGGATAATTAAACCTCATCTATTGAAAAACACCTGATATCATGTAATTATACTAATTAGCGTCCTCCGTTCAGTGGTACGCCAACCACACCTCAAGTATTCTGAGGTTCGATCCCCAGCTGACGCACTCCTAAACCTCGCTCACGGGGGAGTAAGCCCGTTAAAGAAGGAAGTTTGGATGTGAGGCTAGCAACTTCATCCCGTAAAAAATAAAAATTAAAAAAATAATAAATGCTGCTGAAACTTCAGAGCTTAAGCTTGAAACCCTATGTTCCACTCGGAACGCAAAGGAATAAAATGATGCTAAACGACGACGTAGTATTCTTTAAACTAATAAAATTTGCTGTACTGTAAGTAAGTCAGGAGGGTTGCCTAATATATCATGATATTTGATACTTCTCGGTTGCTTAAATTGAAAAAGGAAGAAAGTAATTTGAACCTGAAAGAACATTGAATAAAAATCGAAAATCCCTTCTCCAATAAGACATCTTTTCATTCAGATGAGTACACGATATTCTATGTGTTGTACAAACTATGCTTCAACAATCGAATGCATTTTTAAAAAAATTCCTTTAAGTTCCCAAGTAGAACATCGGAGTTCCAGCTAAAGCTTTGAAGATTCAGTAGCAGTGGTATTTATTTTTACGGGATGGGACTGCTAGCCTCATGCCCAACCTTCCCTCTTTTACCAGTCTTATTACTGGTTTAGGGAGGTAAAGGAGCGCGTCGGCCGAGGATCGAACCCGGAACCACATGGGGCGTGGTTGGTGAGCATTCTAGCACTGTGCCACCGACTCACTAGAATACATTATATTCACTGGTATTCGCTGCAGTAAAACAAGTACCTTTTTCTACCAAAAGGCCGTTAACTGGATGAAATATTTTTTAAAAAGGGTAATGTATGTTACAAGAAATGATGGTGAATTTATTTTTTTGATTCCTTCACGTTCCCAGTGAAACATAGGGCTTCAAGCTAGAGGCTTGGAGTTTCTGTAGCAGTGGTGATTGTTTTTACAGGATACGGTTGCTAGCCTCATGCTTAACCTTCCCCTTTTTACCAGTCGTATTGCTGGCTTAATAAGTTAAAGGAGTGCGTCAGCCGTGGATCGAACCCCGAACCATGTGCATGGTCGGCGAGCGTCCTAACCGATCTGCCACTGACGCACCTAATGATGGTAAATAGGTTAAATAAAATTAGTGGAGAAATGTAACACAGTAAGTAATCAAATACTCGCCAAAGACATTGGCTAGTGATCGCGCTATGTCTTGAATTGGCAGAAGTTAGAATTCATGGGCCATTGGATCGGGTCCCAGTGGCTGAATGGTCTACTAGCTCGCTGGCCTTGTAACCAGAAGGTCCTGAGTTCGAACCCCTGTGGTGGGTGCGTACTGATGAAGAGTCACAAACTAGGACGAGACAGCTGTCCAGTACTCCCAGGTTTTCCAATGGTTCTCTAAACAATCTCAGCTCATGATGAAGTCCTGTAACCAATCAAATCCCTACAAACCAACACTTGAAAACATTTACTTTAAAATGCAGATATGATGGTGTGTACTACTACACATCGAAGTAATGATACGAGATATCTACAACAAACGAATGTACACTTCAAATGACGCACTAAAAAAATATTTATACTTTTAAGTATTGGTTTTGCAGGGATTCTTGTTTGATTGGTTGGAGGATTTCATCATGGGCTAGCATCAGTTAGCGAACCATTGGAAAACCTGAAGGGAGTACTGGACAGCCAGCTGTTTCGTCTTAGTTCGGGACTTTTCATCAGTACGCACCCACTGAAGTTCGACCAATGTCATTTTTACTCTTAATTTAACACAAGCTGATATTTCACATCTGCTAAATATAGACTATCAAACCAAACTAAAGATTACTGAAATAGTATTGTGGTGACAGCTGTCTGCTGGCCAAAATTGTAGACAATTTACGTCAGTGTTACGTCCGGAATCAGGGCAATGAGAAAAACGATAACAAAGCGTAACCTTGACGAACTCACCAACCAATCACAGCAGACTTAACGTGTGCAAACACGATTCGCAGATATATGGCCTGATTTTCTAAGAAACGGTCACAAGGAGATGACAGAGTAACCTTCAGTAAGAAAACAACCGATCAGAAGACGTCGCTTCTCTGCTAACAATAAAGCTGATAATAATGTAAATAAAAATCTATAAATATCTGTTAATTTTCTCAATAAACGATCTGACGTTACATTAGTAGTGGTGTAACGGTAAAAGACGAGAGACTTGGAAAAGGAATGTTTATTTGCAATTTGGTATCTCGATAATACCGAAACTATGTACACCCTATCTTCAACGTATCATTTGCACAGATATTCCGTGTTGTGGTACTTTCTTCGTATTGTGTTTCTTTGTATTCCTTTCACGTCTGTCATGTATCTCCACAACGCTGTATCATTTGCTTTCTCCGACGTCAAATCTATCTCCCTGCTATTCGATATTTTTTATGCCGACGGGTGTCTCTTTATGTACTACTGATAAATCTTATCAGTAGCACACGCCACAGCAGCAGTAGTAGTAATCTAGAGTTTCGCTTCACTTTAGATCACTAAAGGAAAAGAAGAAGCAAATCCATCTTCAAAAACAAACTCCAAACACCTAATTGAATTCAGATTAGATTGTTAGACACGCACACACACACACAAACAAACAGATTTCTGAATTAATTTTTTGTAAAGTCGAAAAACTGTCATAAATGATTGACGCAAGTCTGGTGTGTATCTTAAGAGAATAAAGAGTTTTAGGAATTAATCATTCACAATATAGGTGAGAATAAAATACACAGTGATCTCATATGGTAGTGATAATTCTTAGAGAAATAACTAATCTCTAATTTGCACACATCTCTTTGTGTACTTACTGGTAGAGAAATGTACACACACACTCACATACATGTACATCATATTTACTCCTAGTGGCTGAAAAATCTATAATTTATTGAGATTTAGAACACATTTTTGCTAATGCAATAAATGGCCGGAATCAATTTGGTTAGTACTTCTACTACTTCAACTCTATGAACAAAACAAAAACACGTGTCGACAAAGTTGTAACCTGGAGGATTATTAAAAGCAACAATGTATCGTTTCTTTTCTCATAAATTAAAATAAAACAATACATAACACTGATAAATATGACATGGATTGAATATTTCTAGTACTAATAGTTTTGTTTACTTTTTATTGATGTAAAAAAATGAATAGCATGAACGAATTCAATAATAATAATAAAAGGATGCACGTATTGTTGTAAATCTTTAATGGGAAGATGTAAAAGAACACGTAAGCATTAAGTTTGATCACGAAGTGACAACCAGGAAGTATTGGACAGCTGTTTCATCCTACTTTGAGACTCTTGATCAATGCGCACTCATGACCTTCCTGCTGGGGATGAAACTCAAGACCCTCAGGTGACAAGGCAAGCTCGTTAACCATTCAACCACTGGGATGGAATCCAATGGCCCATCCATTCTAACTTCCACCAACTCGAGATAAACAGATATTGGATTCAGTCCAAGTAGCTGAATGGTAAATGAGCCCACCTTGTAACCTAAGGGTCTTGGGTTCTATCTCCGGTGGGCTGATGGGTGTGTACTGCCGAAGATGAAACAATTGTCCAGTACTTCCTGGTTTTCAATGGTTCTCTAACTTAAGTCCACTCATAATCAAATTACCCCACCCCTCTGCAAAGTAACACTTGATAATAGAAGTCTCACTAGTCGTTTGTTACTTTTTCCACGTGGGCGAGAGAGAGTATATCAATATGATGTTTTATATTCAATTGTACAGAACTCTATTGACCGTAGGAAGACAATGTGAACATATAAAACTTTGACGAAGGGGGGTGTGAGTTGTTGACTATTGATCTTACACAAATTATATACTTCAATCAACAAGAAATAGAAAGCTCAAAAAGGGAATGAAAACAAGGCGGAAATAATATTTAGATGGATGGTGACTAGCAGTAGAATCCAGGGGATGTGCATCTCATCCTATTTAGGGGACTCATTAGTTGTTGTTCCCACTGAGACCCGAACGCAGTACCCATTGTTGCAAACCCCAAAACGTTATCCACTAGACCACTTTGGCCACTAGAGCCAAATCCTGTGCAACAAGTATCACAGTTACATCATTTAAACAAACCAACTAATTCTTCACAAATATTTTTTTATCTTAGAGAAAAGAAACCTAAATGCTTCAGTATATATGGATTTTATTAAGCTTAGAATAATAGATGAAACGCGTATTATTAGTAATCTGAGGTCAATGATGAATAATAATTCCTCTGAAGTACATTTCAAAACTAATAAATACTTTTAGAAGGATAAATAAATTACTGGGAAATATCCTGCCATACAATCGTTTTGT